GATCAATTATAAACTCTTCTCTATGGCATTTAAAGCTCTTTACAATCTGGCCCCTCCATTTCTACCTTTCAAGGTTTTTTTTTTTTAATACATTACTTGCCTCTTTACACTTTATCATCTAATGCTGGTCTACTTGTCTTTTTAAATTTTTTAAAAATTTATTTTACTTTTAATTTATGAAATAAAAAACATTTTCATAACTTAGTAGAAAAAAAAGATGATTGCACTTAAGATTGCAAATCTATTATGTACAACTTGCTATTCCTTTTAAATATACAGTAAAGTTATTATGTAATTTTTTTCCTCTCCCCCTGTCCTAGAGATGGCTATCATTAGACACAAATATGCATATATATGCATGTGTACACACACAACACACACACACACACACACACACACACACACACACACATAAAATCATTCTAAACAGACTTCTATTTATCAGTTCTTTCTCTGGATGCAGAGTGTCTTCTTTCATGTGTCCTTTGTAGTTAATTTGGGTATTTATAATAGTCAAAATGATTTATTTGCTCAAAGTTGTTCTTGAAAACAACTGCTGTTACTGTATACAATGTTTTCTTGGTTATGTTCATTTCATTCTTCTTTATTTCGTGCAAGTCTATACAAGTTTTTCTAAGATCATCAAGCTCATCATTTCTTATAGCACAGTAGTATTCCATCAAAATCATATACCACAACTTGTTCAGCCATTCCCCAGTTGATGGGTGTCTCAGCAACTTAAAGTTCTTTGCCACCACAAAGAAACCTGCTATAAATATTTTAGAGCATATAGGTTTTTTCCTTTTTCCATAATTATCTTTGGAAAAAGACCTAATAGTAGTATATTACTGGGTCAAAGGGCATAGGCAATTTAATAACTCCTTGGGTATGACTCCAGACTGCTTTCCAAAATGGTTGGATCAGTTAACAATTCCACTAACAGTGAATTGGTGTCCCAATTTTCCTACATCCCCTCCAACATCTGTCCCTCTCCCTTTCAATCATTTCAGCCAATCTGATAGGTATAAAATGATATCTCAAGATTGTTTTAATTTGCATTTCTCTAATTAATAATGATTTAGGGCATTTTTCATATGACTATAAATTGTTTTGATTTTTTCATTGGAAAACTGTTCATATTCTCTAACCATTTATCAATTGGGGAATGAACTCATATTCTCATAGATTTTACAAAGTTTTTTCTATATATTTGAGATACAAGACCTTTATCTGAGAAACTGTCTGTAAATTCCTGCCTCCCTCCTCCCCCCAATTTTCTACTTTTCTTCTGATCTTGGCTACATTTGTTTGATTTGCACAAAACTTTTAAAATTTAATGTAATCAAAATTATCCACTTCATACATTATTCTGCTCTTTATCTCCTGTTTATTCACAAATTGTTCACATATTTATAAGTATGATAAGTAATATGTTCCATGTTCTTCAAATTTTCTTGTAACATCTCTCTTTATATCTAGCTCATGTATTCATTTCGATTCTATCTTGGTATATGGTGTAAGATACTGATCTATGCTCAGTTTCTGCCAGATTGCTTTTTAGTTTTCCTAACAATTTTTACCAAGTAATGAATTCTTATCCCAAAATCTTAAGTCTTTACACTTGTCAAATACAAAGTCACTGTATTTATTTACTGCTGTGAATTGTATGTCTGCTCTGTTCCTATCTTTCTGTTTCTTGGCCAGCACCAGATAGTTTTGGTAATTACTGCTTTATAATATAGTTTAAGATCTGGTACTGCTAAACCTCTTTCCTTTACAATTTTCCCACCTTAGTTCCTTTATATTCTTGACTTTTTTTCCTTTCAAATGAACTTTGTTATTTTTTTTCTAATTCAGTAAAATAATTTTTGGTAATTTAATTGAAATGGCATTGACTATATAAATTAGTTCAGGTAAAATTGTCATTTTTGTTGTATTGGCCCTGCCTAATAACCATGAACAATTCATATTTCTCTAATTATTTAAATTTGATTTTATTTGTATAAAAAAGTTTTTTTATTTTATAATCTTGTTTATATAATTCTGGTTTTTGTTTTGGTAGGTGTACTCCCAGGTATTTTATACTGTTTAGAGTTATTTTAAATGGGGTATCTTATACTATCTCTTCTTGCAGGGTTTTGTTTGTGACGCATAAAAATGATTTATATGGATTTGCTTTATATCCTGCTACTTTGCCAAATTTATTGTTTCAACTAACTTTTTAGAGTCCTTGGGATTTTACAAGAATATCATCAAATTGTCTGTGAAAGGAGATAGTTTTATTACCTCATTCCCTATTCTGATTCCTTCTTTTACTTTTTCTTCTTTTATTGCTATTGCTAGAATTTCCAATACAATATTGAACAATATTGGTGACAGTGGGCAACCTTATTTCATACCTGATCTTACTGGGCAGGCTTCTAGCTTATCCCTATTCCAAATAATGTTTGCTGATGGTTTTAGATAAATGCTTTTTATCAATTTAAGGAAAAATACATTTATACCTATATTTTCAAGTGTTTTTAATAGAAACAAGTTCCTGGCTTTGGTTTAAATACCATATTTGTTTCATAAAAGAAGTTTGGTAGTATCTCTTCTTTGACATAATTGATTTAACATTGGAATTAGTTGATCTTTAAATGTTTGACAGAATTCACTTGCAAATCTGTCTAGTCCTGATGCTTTTTTCTTAGGAAGCTCATTTATGACATGTTCAATTTCTTTTTCTAAAATAGGTCTATTTAGATATTCTATTTCCTCTTCTGCTAATATAGGCAATTTATATTTTTGCAAATATTCTTCTATTTGACTTATATTGTTAAATTTATTTGCATATAATTGGGTAAAATAACTACTTATAATTCTTTAATTTCATCTTCATTAGTGTTATATTCACCCTTTTCATTTTTACTACTAGTGATTTGATTTTCTTCTTTACGTCAAATTAATCAATGGTTTCTCTATTTCATTGGTTTTTTCCCCCACAAAATCAACTCCTAGTTTCATTTATTAATTAAATATTTATACACTCAATTTTATTAATCTCACCTTTAATTCTTAGGATTTCCAATTTAGTGTTTAAATGGGAATTTTTAGTCTGTTCTTTTTCAAGTTTTTTAATTGTTTATCTAATTCATTGGTCTGCTCTTTCTCTATTTTATTGGCATAAGCATTTAGAAATATAAATTTTCCTCTGATTATTGCTTTTGCTGCATCCCATAGTTATGAAGGCAGCAGCGGTATTCACCTATTAGAGTGCAAGGCCCTTGAGAGCAGGGATTGTACCAATTTTAATTTTTGAATCCCCAGCCCCAGTACAATGCTATGCCCATAGTAAGACTTTAAAAAATGTTTGTTGAAACTAAATAAAGAAATGACTTTATGTCTAGAAGAGTCATCAATATCCTACTGTTCAAGGCTTACTTCCTTTACTTTGAGAGAGGTGGATTAGCTGGAAAGAGCACAGGGCATGGATTGAGAGGCTCTGAATTCAAATCCCAATTCTGCTGCATAATGAATATGTGTTCTTAAGAAAGTGACATGATATTTCTGGAGTTCAGTTTCCTCATCTGTAAAATGAAAAGGTGGAAGTAGATCGCAGGTTTTAAACCTGGGGTTCATGGGTGTCTTAGAGACAGATTTCAAGGAATCTATGAAGTTGGTTGGGAAAAAATGGCATCTTTAATTTTCACTAACCTCCAACTGACAATTAGCATTTCCTTCAATTATTTAGAAAAACACTATTCCGTGGTGGCAAAGAATTGGAAATTGAGGAGATTCCCATCAATTGGGGAAATAGATGAACATTGTTATACCTGATTGTAATGAAATAATATTATGCTGTAAGAAATGACAAACAGGATGCTTTCTGAAAAAACTGGAAAGACATGAGCTGATGCAAAGTGAAATGAGAAGAACCAGGAGAACACAGCAATATTGTATGAATACAGAGCTGACAATGTGCTAGGCATGAAAATTTCCATCATTGCGAAGCCCGTCTTCTAGCCTTTTTAGTTCCATTAGATTGTTTTCTGTACACATCTTAAGGATGGGATCAGATGAGGTTACCTCTGGCCCACAGGAAAAGTGGGCTACTTCAGGAGAAGCCTTTCTGACAATACAGCTGCACTTTACTGATTCTGGCTCTGATCACTTCAGGATCTCTGAGTCTGAACTAGGGCAGGATCGCTTTATATCTGTTCAGAACCAGAGGGCAAGTTTATATAAACAAGATCAGGAGGGAGTATTAACATAAGGGGATGCACTGCTCTTAAGCAGATTCATTGCTATCTCTTTTTAAATGCCTATTACAGCTCATTAAAGCAGGTCTCTGAAGGACCTCTATTGGGCAACACACCTTATTGGCAGTATGTCTGATTCCTTGTAAAAATAACATTTTAGGGCAAGTCTATATGGGCCTAAGTCTCCTCATTTATAAAATGAAGGCATTGGACCAAATGACTTTCAAGATAAAAGCAGTAGTGAAGGAGACAAGATCCCAAATTTGGGGTTTAATCAGTGACACACACAAGCTGCTTCTCACCCATTATCCTTAAAAGGGGGTTGTTACAGCAGGAAATGGCCTTTCCCACTTTGATTCTGGTCAAGCTGACCTCCAGTGTGGGTTTCTCTCCAGCAGCCATAGTGTATGTCCCCCCTGAAGTGCTTAACCACAAGAGGTCCTCACAAAACATCTGCTACTTTTCCTTATTCCTTCTCCTCCAGCCCCAACCCCATTAATCAGCATTCCTTCCCCTGGCTCTGCCCTGCAGTGCTGTAACAGAGCCCAAGCCTTCCTGAAAATGCAATGATCAGAGGAGGGCAGGGGAAGGGAAAGGAGGAGGGAGGAGGGGAGAGGGGGGAGGGAGGAGGGGGGAGGGGGCAGGGGGAGGGAAAAGGGAAGAGGGAGAAGAAGGTGGCTGAGTGGCTATTGGGCAACAAGGAAGGACAAACACTGTTAGGTCACTGATTCTGCTAACACAGCTCCTGTTTCTCTATAAAAGGACCAGGAGAACAGCTAAGAAGCCATCACAGAATCCAGGGGGTCATTCTGTGATAGAAGCCCCACCACCCCCTTGCTTCCAGGCCCAGAACCAACAAAGAAATGAAACTCACTTTCTCCACCTTATTATCCTTCGGGATAATAGGTAAGTGACCACTGAATGGCTATTGATTTAGAAGGGGAATGCCAGGTTCAATTTTGGGGTGGGGTGGGGGTAGTTATCCCTGCCCATTCTTTGCGAGTAAGTCCAGGGTCCGTGGTAGCCCTCTGCATATCTCCTAGTGTGAGCTTTCTCTGAGGCCACTAGCACATTGGAGGGTGTCAGGAATTGGATTCCCATCCCTGTCTTCACAAAATAAAATGTGAATGAGACAGACCCATACCTGGCATGGAAGAGAGATTAATCAGTCCTGGGGTTACACTGTCTGTGAGTGCAGTCTTGAGATCTTGATCTGCTACCCTTGTAGATATAATAACAATAATGATAATTTTAAAATAATAATAATCAAGCCAGCATTTATATAGCATTTTAAGGTTTGATCCTCAGAGCTGTCCTGTGAGATGGGTGCTATTATGATCTCCATCTTATAGATGAGGAACTTAAGGCCCAGAGAAGGGTAAGGGGCTTACTAATAGACATACTTCTATGAAGGTCTGAGATAGAATTTCAACTCAGGTTTTCCTTACTCTAACACTGAGCCACCAGGACATTTAGAAAGTTGCAAGTGACCTATGAGGTCTTCAAAACCCCCTCATCTTACAGATAAAGAAACTGAGGCCCAGAGAGGCTAAATAGTTTGGCCAGGATCGCACAGCTTATTTGAAGGGGGTGGGAGACATACTTCACAAGGTTATTTTATAAAAGGAGGACCTGATAGAAATACAGAGGTTATTTGAGGTTTCCTGATCAACACTTCAGCAGTCAATAATAAATATAACCTGCTTTAGGAGGATGTGGAACTCTTGTTCCCAAATGCAGATCCTGAGATAAAAACTTTAGATCTGAGATCATAACTTTAGATCTAGAAGGTATCTTAAAGACCATTTAGTACAGGGGTTCTTAACCTTTTTTGTGATGGGGACCCCTTTGGAAGTCTGGTGAAACCTATGGATCCTTTCTGAGAATAATTTTTTAAATGCATAAAATAAAATATATTTGATAAGTAAATACATATTTGATAACCAAGGAAGCTGATTATGTCAATATAGAGTCATCCAGACATTTAAAAAAACAACTTCCCTAGCCCCTGATTAAGAGCCATAGATCTAGTCAGATCCCTTCATTTTGTAGCTGTGAGGAAACTGAGTCTTGGAGGGAGAGACTGAGTTGGAGGAAAGCTAAGGCACGAAAACAGCTACTTGGCTTCTTGTTACAAGGCCTCCCTAGAGGGCTGAAGGCAGATGTTTAGGAGCAATAAAAGGGTGATGGTGCTTTACCATTTTTCATAACAAAGCCCTAGGAGCTCCCCTCTCAGTTTGGTTCTCCAGATTCTGATGGACACCAGTGTCCTCTTTCCTTGTTAATGCCCTATTAATAGAATTTTATATCAATCACTTAACAAGCATTTACTAAGTGCATACTGTATGCCAAGCACTGAGGATAGAAATACAAGAGCCTATGAGCTCCTGCCATCAAGGAGCTTACATTCTAACAGAGAGACAACACACTAACTGGTGTGAGTCAGTGGCTGCCACTTAGGGCTCCTTGAGAGTAGGAAATATTGTTGCCTTTTTTAAAATCCCCATGGCTGATTTAGACAATGACTGGCACACAGTAGGCACTTAATAAGTGCTTGTTGAGGGATTGATTTTGTTTGGAAAGTTACTGGGATAGTGAGTTTTCCAAATAACTCTTTGCTCCTTTTGTTTCCTGCTTACAGGATCTCAAAATACTCCTCTTTCCCCTGCATTGCTTTTGCTTTTGCCAATCACCCAAATGGAAGTTTCGGCCCTTTAGTTCCAAATGTGATACAGCAAATACACGACAGATATAGAGTTGAGACAGGCCAACTCTCAGAGGGGAGGACAGAACCATCTGGGAGGAGGGGAAAAGCTCAGCAATTGAACCAGGTCTTGTTTTCTGAGGCCAGCTCTCTAAATCATGGTTGTCTTGGAGAATGAAGGACAAACCACAACAAAATCACACTGCCTCTTAGCAAATCCTTTAAGTAGGAAAAAGCCTTAATTGAATGGGAAGAATGGGGTGGAACTGCCCCAGGGAGGGATGAAACAGAGATCCCCGCAAATCCCCTCTGGTGCTTCCATGGAAGCCAGGGGCTCTTGTGGAGAGAAATAGGACAAAGCAGGAGAGGGGCTCACCCCAGCCATCAAAATAGCTTCTCATTTTAACTAACAATTCTAGATAACTAAGTTCTAAATTCTAGTATTGAAGGACTGACTCTGATATAGAGGAAAGACCTTTGGAATAAAAATCAAAGGACTTGGGTTCCTCCCGGCTCTGGCACTTACTTTACATGTGACCTTGGGGGAGGGAGGAGGGTTACTTCATTTCTCTGGGCCTCAGTTTCCCTCCCTATAAAATGAAGCTGTTGGAGTTAATTTCATTCAAAGTCTCTCCCAGGTCTAAATCTATGTGAAACACATGACACATTAGGTTAAGTTTGGGGGAATAAGGAAATGCCTAATGTAGAACATGGCACTTGAGCCTAGTTTTGAGGTGAAGGAGAGATTTTAAGAGACAAAGGGGGGAGGAGGAGGGACGTTCCAGGCGGGAAGGACAGCCTGTGCAGATGCAGGAGACGGAACATTATATATGAGAATGGCAAGAAGGCAAGACTGGCTGGAAGGAAGAGTGCTTGAAGGGAAGTAATACTTAGTAAGTCTGGAAAGGTGAGGGAGAGCTAGGCTGTGAAGGAATTTAAATGCTCAGCAAAGGAGTTTGAATGGTACAGACCTTCAGATCCTTTAAGATACCTTAGAGATCTTGCCCAACCTCTCACATTTTGCAGATGAAGACACTTCAGCTGCAAAAACCCATTCATTCTGGGAAGAACTGTGTGAGGACACTTCTCATGAAGGCAAAGATTTTTTTTTTAGGCATTTGGGGTTAAGTGACTTGCCCAGGGTCACATAGCTAGTAAGTGTCAAGTGTTTGGTCTGAGGCTGGATTTGAACTCAGGTCCTCCTGACTTCAGGGCCCGTTCTCTATCCACTGCACCGCCTTGCTGCCCCTGGGCAAAGATCCCTTGGGATGTTTCATGGGATATTTCAATCCATATCTAACAAATTCCCAGACTTTGTGTTTTGGTTTTCTGCATATTTGTAAAATATACTTTGAATATATTTCCTGTAAGCTGCTGTGCTGGTATTCCCTTGTTGTTCTTCCATCATGTCCAACTCTCTGTAACCCCATTTGGGGTTTTCTTGGCAAAGATACTGGAGTGGTTTGTTATTTCCTTCTCCAGCTCATTTTACAGATGAGGAAACTGAGGCAAACAGGGTGAAGTGATTTGCCCAGGGTCACACAGCTAGTTAAGTGTCTGAGGGCGGATTTGAACTCAGGTCTTCTTAGACTCCAGGCTTGGTGCTCTATCTCCTTTGCATTCAGCTGCCCTCGGTGGCTATAATGCACAGGTTATTCCATCCACTAAAGTCCTCCTCTGATGCTTCATCTTGACATGAAGGTGACCCTAGCTTCCCAAAGACAATGTGGGCCAGTTCAAAACCTGGCGAGTCCTACAAAGCTGGGAAGTCTTCAAGTATGGTTTCAGTGCTGTTCTAGGACCACAAAGTTATGACTTTAGAGGTGGAAGGGACCTTAGATCAAAGTAAGAATAACTGACATGTATTTTGGTTTGGGTGTTAGAAGCATCTAGTTCAACTCCCTTATTTTATAGACATGGAACTTAAGGAAAGTTAAATGACTTGCCCAGAAACACACAGATCATAAGTAGTAGCGGTTGTATTTGAATCCAGTTCTTCCAACTCCAAATCAAGTGTTCTTTTTACTAAACCATTAGTAAAACCTAAACTGCAGGCCAGCTAGGTGTGGAGAGGCTGGAAGGATAGGGAGATATAAAAAGGGTTTTGAAAATGAAGTAAGGTAGCTGTGTGACCCTGGGCAAGTCACTTAAACCCAGTTGCCTCCAAAAAAAATAAAAGAAAATGAAGAGAGGGTTACTTCTTAGGAAACCATGGATCTTGGAAGTGCTGACTTAACACATCAATAAAGCTGATTTGAACCTCTCTATAAATCACATTTTTTAAAAAAAGGCAATCAGGGTTAAGTGATTTGCCCAAGGTCACACAGCTAATAAGTGTCTGGGGCTGGATTTGAACTCAGGTCTTCCTGACTCCAGGAAGACTATCCGCTGACTATCCACTGAGCCACTTAGGTGCCCCTAAGTCAAAGGTTCTTAATCTGGGGTTTACAAATTTTTCTTTTCTTTGCCTGTATTCAATACAGTTGGTTTCATTTGTAATCCTATGTTATGCATCATGCTGAAAGACTTTGTGAAAAAATAGTAGCAACATCAGCACTAACAAAACACAACCCTTCTCCCCACCCCCCCAAAACAGGGCCACATATGAGGAATAAAGTAACAGTGAGGGAAGGGTAATTGTCTTTTTCTTTCCATCCCTTAGGTCCTTCTCTACTAGCTTCCAAGGTGATGGGAAGGAAAGGGGAGGCATCTTGGGAATGAGAGCTTGTGCCCTGGATAATTGAGAGCAGACGACTAGCCTGATGCGCTGCTTGCCTTGGTTTCTATTTGGTGGGGACAGCTTCCCATCCTGTATGCAGGCACTGGAGGTCTTGTTCCTCTGTGTTCCTTCCTGGAAGATGACTGCAGCAAAATCAGGACCCGGGACAGGGGCACCTCCTCTGTGTCTGGTTGACGGAGGGGAGTGTGGCCATGAGCTCATTCCCCTCTGGCTTTTCTCCTTTAGGGCTGTGCCTGGCTTCTACAGAACAGCAAGTAAGATGGTGTGTCATATCGGAAAACGAGCTGAAGAAATGCAATGAATTCAAAGAGGCCATGAAGTCTATCAACCATCCCGGTCTGGCCTGTATAAAGAAAACTTCCCACATGGATTGTGTCAAGGCGATCTCGGTAGGTCACAAGCCCTCCTTAGCGGTAGTGGTGTGGTGGAGGGTGTGTGATTGTCTGCCTGAGGGACAGTGGAGGAATGTTCATTCTGCTCTTCCCCAACTCTCTTAGTTTGTTTCATTACCCTGGTACCTCCCTTCAGTTGTTTCAGTCATATCTGACTCTTCATAAGGCCATTTGGGATTTTCTTGGCAGAAACTACTGGAGTGGTTTGCTATTTCCTTCTCCAGATCATTTGACATACAAGGAAACTGAGGCAAACTGTGAAGTGACTTACCCAGGGTCACATAGTAAAAGTCTGAGGTCACAGTTGAACTCAGGATAATGCATCTTCCTGATTGCAGGCTTAGTACTCTGTGCATTATGGCGCCACCTAGCTGCCCCAAAGAAATTCTTAGTGCTCAGTTATTCCGGAAAAGTGCTTTTCCCAAAGGGAGCCTGGAAGGGAGACAAAATTTCTTGCAATGCTGAGAAAGCAGCTGACTGGAAAATAGAGGAGGAAAGAAAAATAAAATCCGGAAATGACAACTGCAATGGCAGCTCAATTATTTTTTAAAATAAAATACATACCATCTCTGTTGCTGCCTTGTATTGGCATGGAAGAGACCCTGGTTTTTTAAGGCTATGCCAGCAAAGGGTAAGCTTTGACAAGGCCTGCCAAGCTGGAAGGGCTTCAGCTGAGTGAGGGCCCAGTGACTGGCTGCCTGCCTGCCTGCTGAGACAGCCTAGATCAGCGCAGTGATGCTCATTACCTGGAACTCAGCTACCAGGTGACCATTCATTCATTTATTTATCACCTTCTTTCCTTCCTTTCGTTCCTTCCTTCCTTCCTTCCTTTTTTCTTTCTTCCTTTCTTTCTCTCTTCCCTCAGTCATTCCTCAAGACAATCTTCTAGGGGTGGAGGAAACCTAGGTGAATGTAAAATTCAAGTACAAATGGGAAAAGATCATAGAATCATAGATTTGAATCTGGAAGGCACCTCTGAGGTCACCCTAGTTTAGCTCCCCCTCCCTTTTTTTTTTCAGATGAGAAAACCCTAGAGAGATTAAGCAAGATTGCCCAAGGTCAGCCAGATAGCTTATAGCAGAGCTGGGATCTGAACCTAGGCCCTTTGACTTCAGAGTGTGTGGCTGGTGAATAATTATTCAATGGATGTACAAATGAAAGGGAGTCTGCCCCACTCCTACTCACTTACTGATATCAGTTTTCATGGCTTATAGATTTAGGACAAAGAGGAACCTTAAAGGTTACCTAATCCAACCCCCTCATTTTACAGATGAGGACACTGAGGCCCAGAGAGGTCAAATGCTTTGCCTAAGGTCCCACAGTAAGTGGAAGAGCCAGGATTTGAACACAAATTTTGGCTTCTGATTCCATATCCAGCTTGCTTTCTGTAGACTTCTTGAGGGTAGAGACTAAATAAAATTAATATAAATCTATGGCCATTTTTCATTAGGAAGGGCTTGGCAAATACTGTTTGAATGAAAGGAAGGGCAATTACAGGCAGGGAGGGAGAATGAGAGGGATTTTTTTTTTCATTTAATGAGAGACAGAACTTTTGGCATGTTTATCTACTATTATGTTCCAAGGAAGGTAGAAAGGAACTAAGAATTTATTAAATCCCTGCTGTGTTAAGCACTTTTGATCCTCGAAACAACCCTGAGAAATAGGTGTTGTTATTATTCCTATTTTACAGTTGAGTAAACTGAGGCAGACAGGGGTTTAGTCACTTGCCCTGGGGCCACACAGCTAGTAAATATCTAAAGCCAGATTTGAACTCTTTCTGACTCCAGGCCCAGGACTTTATCCACTCAGCCATCAGCTGTCTCCACGGCAGGTAAAAGACAATGTGGCTTTGTGAAGGTTTTTCTAGTCATAGTTTTTCTACGATTTCCTGCCAAAACTATCCCTTTCATGTGTTCATACTGTTCTTATTGAGAGGTAAGGGACTTCAGCGCTGTTTACACTCATCGCTTTCAGGAAAATGAAGCTGATGCTGTGACTATTGATGGTGGTTTGATCTATGAAGCAGGTCTGGTACCCTACAATCTGAAACCTGTCGCTGCTGAAGACTATGGTACTGAAACAGGTGAGTTCTCCTTGACCTGGACATGTTGGCTCCCAAGCCAGCACAAAGGATTCTGACAGCTCTTGGGATGCTGAAAGAACCCAACCCTGAAAGTCCAGAAATGGACATTTGTGTTATTCTCAAGAGAGGCCATTGATGACAGTGAGAGATTGGGCTTCGGCTGTGGGACAAAACTTCCAGAAATTCCCTTATTATAGCAGAGGCCCTTATATAAACAATGCCCCCTCTCCCTCATACATTTCTACCCCCTAAACTTATTTTCTCTATGTGCTTTTGGCTCTGAAGAATTCAAACCTGTGGTGTAAGGAGGAGAAAGGAAAAAAATATCAGTAACAGACATCATGCTGGTTACCAAAACAATATAGAGATTTTAGCTGGGAAATTGCCTGAGAAGAGACTGTAGAGTTGGCAAATGTGAACTAGAGCCTTTTCCTAGCCACTCATTTGCCTGAATGGAAAAATTCCCAGCATTTAATGGTTTGAAAAGGGAGCTTTGATTATTTTCTCTTATACCAGTCAAAGAAGAATTTTTTCTCTTTTAAAAAAGTTCTTTTATTTTTTAATTTATGGAATAAAACAAATATTTCTATAACATAGTATAATAAAAAGATGATTGCACATGAAACTACAAATCTACTATGTATAACTTGCTATTCCTTTTATTTATACAGTGAAGTTTTCATGTAAATTTCTATTTTTTCTTCTTTTCCACTCACAAGATGGCCACTATTATACACAAATACACATACACACACACACACATATAATGTATATATATAAAATTTTTCTAATATACTTCTCTTTATCAGTTCTTTCTCTAGATGCAGATAGCCTCTTTCTTCATATATCTTATGGTTAATTTAGGTATTTCTAATAGTCAAAATAATTTATTTGCTCAAAGTCTTTTTTTTCCTTCTTTTTTTATTTCTATTTAAAAAATTTTTTTTTCCATATGCTTTTGAGATGAAAATTTTTCTCCCTTTTCCTCCCCCCCCCCAAGACGGCTCACAATCTGATATAGGCTTTACATTTACATACCCATTAAGCAAATTTTCACATTAGTGAGGTTGTAAGTAAAAATTAAAACCTATAGGAGGAACCATCAGAAAGATGAAACAAAACTCAACAGAAGGTGAAAATAAGTGATAGCGATTCGACTTCCATAGTTCTTTCTTTGGATGTGGACAGCATTTTCCATCCCGAGGCCTCTGCAGATGTCTTAGATCCTCGTAATGCTGAGAAGGGTTCAGTTTAACAATATTAGTCATCATATAACGTGGCTGTTATTGTGTACAAAATCCTCTTGGTTCTGCTCACTTCACTCAGCATCAGACCATATAAATCTTCCCAGGTTTTTCTGAAGTCAGCCTGTTCATCATTTCTTATAGCACAATAGTATTCCATTACATTCCTATACCACAACTTGCTCAGCCATTCCCCAATTGATGGGCATCCTCTCAATTTCCAATTCTTTGCCACCACAAAAAGAGCTGCTATGAATATTTTTGTACATGGGGGTCCTTTTCCCATTTGTTTGATCTCTTTGGGATATAGCCCTAGAAGTGCTATTGCTGGATCAAAGGGTATGCACATTTTTGTAGCCCTTTGGGCGTAGTTCCAAATTGTTCTCCAAAATGGTTGTATCATTTCACAACTCCACCAACAATGTGTTAGTGTTCCAATTTTCCCTCAAAGTCTTTCTTAAAACAATGTTGCTGTTACTATATACAATGTTCTCTTGGTTCTGCTCATTTTGCCTTCATTATTTTGTATTTTATAAGACTTCTTTATATGTTTATATACTACATATGTATATGTGTACGTGTATGTATATATGTGAAATGACACATATATATGTGTGTGTATACATATAATATATACACACACACATATGTAAAGTTTTATAAGAGTTTTCAAATTCTTCCTTCTACTCATCACCAGATCCAAGCCCAAGATCAGAGATTTCCTGGGATCTCCCCACCCCTTAGGAGATCAGCAGAGTGTAGAGTGGCTTTGGCTCCTATCTGAGAATCTTCCTGTTTCTTCTATCTCCTAGCTCCTCTGTCTCAGTACTTTGCTGTAGCTGTTGTGAAGAAAGGAACTGATTTCAACATCAAGGACCTCAAAGGCAAGAAGTCCTGCCACACTGGCCTGGCCAGGTCAGCTGGGTGGGTCGTGCCTGTGGGGACATTATATGCACTTGGATTGTTGGACTGGGAAGGACCACCAGAACCTATAGAAGATGGTAAGCTGGCAAGTACAGTGAGTACTCCGAATGTAGTGGCTTCTAGCTGCAGTATTATTATTAGTTCTCCCCCCTCCTCTCTCCATTCCCTTCCTTCTCCCCTCTCTCCACTAGATCTGTGATTTCAGCAGCAAAATGAATTCTCAGAGGGGAACTTTTTCTACTGAATGCAGAGGAAACAGTAGCTTATCAGCTCAGGCTCAAGGTGCTGGGGGCATTGAGAGTTTAAGAGACTTGACTGTACATGGCAAGACCTTGAACCCAGGTCTTTCTGAGCCAATTTTCTTTTTCTTTCTTTTAAAAAAATATTTTATTCCCCTCCCCCAATTACATGTTAAAATAATTTTAAACATTTTAAAAAAGGTTTCCAAATTCCAAATTCTATTCCTCCCTTCCTTTCCTCCTCTCTGAGACAGTAAGTAATCTGATACAGTTTATACATGTGCAATCAAGTAAAATATCAGAGGCCAATTTTAGATCCACTTTCCCATGTTCTACATTCATTACACACATATATTCACTGCACACATTAGAAACTGGCACACTGAAGCAAACAATAACAATGAGGATGATCATTTATCAGTGGCAACAGTAGAAAACATTATTTATGTTGTCATCAATCATCAGCAATCTTTATTTTATCTAGTATGCGAAATCTGGACGCATGTGTTGAATGAAAGGTAAATTTTATGTAAAATTTTCAGAAAAGGTTATCTGGATGAATAGGAATGAGGAAAAGTCTGGGGTTGTAGCTTTCTTTCTGTGATTGAAAACTGTGCTTTGGGGGACAGCTAGGTGGCACTGGGGAGAGAACACCTTCTTGTGGACTCATTTATCCAAAGTGAAAAGCAAGTGGTTGAGATCACTCTGTTCATGCAGATCACTATTGATATGTCTTTTGGGAGGAGAGATGGCCTGGAAAACACTCTTTGGACTAACGCCTTGTTTCTATGTGTCCCCCTACATGCCCCTCACACTGCTCAGCCTGTGTTTCTTTCTCTCCATAGCTGTGGCCAGGTTCTTCTCTGGCAGCTGTGTTCCCTGTGCTTCAGGGAAGAATCCTAAATTGTGTTCTTTGTGTGCTGGAAAAGGTGGCGACAAGTGTGCCTGCTCAGATAGAGAACCTTATTTTGGTTACTCAGGAGCCTTCCAGTAAGTTGAACCCTTCCCATAACTCCAGTAAAACTTTAAGCATCAGTAGGTCTGTGAACATTCTCCCCAACCCCTGTGATTTTCTTGGGACCCATCAACAGCCGCTTCTTAGCTTCAACCATCCTGACCTTCAACTATCAACCCATCTTTGGATTCCCAAAGAAGTTGGGCAGGAAAGCAAGTAGGTTGTGCTTCAGTCCCTCCTTCTATAGTCACCTCTACTTTTGTTCAAATGAGGTTAATTTATGTAAATCACTTTGCAGAGGGACTATTATTATTATTGTTGTTGCTGGTTCTTTCAGTTTCTGGGGCCTAGTCTAGCCCTGAACTGGAGGAAGACAAAGAGCCTGACTGAGAAAGTTCTCTAGTATTCAGCAGTCCCTGGGTCATTAGAGAAGGCCTGACTACTTATGAAAAAAAGTCCTCCACCCCTGGCTCACAGTCTGACCTATTGAAAAAAAGACTTTCTTTTCCCTATGGGCCAATGTGAGCTGGCCTCTAGGGCCCTTCTGATTATCCCTCCTGGCTGTCCACCTCTACTAGATTTCTGAAATGGGTGTTTCCCTCTCAGTAGTTCCCTCTCCTGCTGTTTTGCCTCACACTAGTGCAGCAGAGCTCTAGAGTAGAGCTTTTCTCTGTCAATCAGGGCCAAATTACCTATGCTCACCAAAAAAGGAACAAAAAAATGGATTTTTAACTCTAATCAGCTAGCCTGAGGCTCCCAGAAGATGTGAAGTATTTCTCTTTCATGTTAGAGTCTCTTAAATTGCTTTTACTTAAATACACACACACACACACACACACACACACACACACACACACCCCTTTTTGGCTGAACGCCCAGCAAAATATGAGGGATGGCAGAATCTTGGGTCAGTATCTGAACCCCCTCTGTAGTTAATACTCCCCTGGATATTAGTTATATGCTGAATGCCCAGCCTTGGGTTAGGGACTGAGAGGTAGAATTTACCTTCGAGGAGCTCACAGAAGGAACATTGGATTGGGATGGGAAGATTAGTTGTTTAGTCATTTAAGTATCTGCCTCGTGACCCCATTTGGGCTCTACTTGGGAGAGATACTGGCATAGTTTGACATTTCCTTTTCCAGCTCATTTTACAGATGAGGAAACTGAGGCAAACAGGGTGAAGTGACTTGCCCAGGGTCGAATAGCTATTAAGTGTCTGAGGCCAGATTTGAAATCAGGAAGAGTTCTCCTGACTCCAGGCCCACCGTTCTGTGTGCTGTGGTGTCACGTTAGAAGACTAGACCGATACCTTTAAAACAATAGCCAACCAGTCATGGCAGGATGCAAGAAGTCTCCTTGGCCCAGTGGGAAGAGAACTGGATTTGGAGTCAGAAGACTCCAGTCTGAATCCTGACTCTCTCACTTTTACTACTTATAAGACCTGAGGCAAGTCACTTTAGTTAGGCCTCAGGCTCTTCGTATTCAGGATAGGAGGTTGGAGTCAATCATTTCTAAAGTTCTTTCCAGTTCTAGATCTACAATAAGTGGGACCTTTCCCTTAACTGCAGTTGAGCTTCATATATCAATAGGATTCGTTCATAGTGCTGAATTGGGTTACATGTGCTGGAAGGGCTTGGGGACCTATGAATCACGGCTCTAAACCTTCCTACCTGTGTGACCTTATGAACCTCAGGTGGACCAGATGTTCTCTTGCTCTGGAAATCCTCCATATGCTTCTATTTCTGTGAGGGCTTCAGGAAAGCATAGGATAAGCTATTAATGCTTCTCTTGATTTCCCTTTTTCCTAGATGCCTGAAGGATGGTACCGGTGATGTGAGTTTTGTCAAGCACACAACTGTGTTGGGTAAGTACCAGGGTAGAGAAGCCCAGCTCCCCATTACTCTAAGCATTGTTCATAGCCTAACCTCAGTCTTGTTCTTTCTATTTCCTGCTCTTGTGTTCTTTCTTAGAACCCTCTTCTGAAGAGAATTTTAAAAAGTTAGTTCATAATGGTCTATGGTTATGCCATTTACCATCTGTTGGAAGATAGGTGGAATTCTCCGCACTGGACTCTTCTGGGTCTCTCTTTCACTGATTATTAACCTTTCCATCTACGTCCTTACCCACACCCTAGTACTTGTAGATTAAAGTTGCCCACCTTGATGCCTGGTCACCCTGCTAGACTGTAATGTCCTTCAGAGTAAGGACCATACAAAGTAGACAAAAATATGAGACGTGAAAGGTGGAATTGCTGAGAATGAACAGCTGAGGATGGCAGGGGACGGGAGGTAGGTGGGAGGAAGATTGTTGGGATGTTCTGAAAAAAAGGTAAAATGTTAATGGATAGTTGATTAGAGCCAAGTAGTACATGCAAGATTTCTCATGGGAAATCCTGGTCCTTCAGGAAGACGATATCTAATTTGTAACTTGCCAAGATTCTAGAACCACGACAAAATAGTCTGCTTAGCATCTCTTTGGCCTAGAATTCTGATTATACTATAGATTTTAGTCTGAGATTTCTTCTTCCTCTTGATCTTTTGCTTTTATTCAAAATATGTATCTCATTTAATGCTTATCATAGTGCATTGCACACAGTAGAAGCTTAATAAATGCTCATTCTGGCTGAGATTCTTCTATAGTAGATCTGGCCTCACTAGTCTCGCCAGGTTCAACCTTCCAAGAGATGATGCTGAGACACTGATTCAAGAAAACTTAGAGTTCATGGGGCATGGATTCATCCTTGGGGCCCTACTCATTTGAGTTTTTTGCTTCTTCTTGCAGAGAACCTTCCAGCTGAGGCTGAAAAAGAAAATTATGAACTGCTGTGCCCTGATAACACAAGGAAGCCTGTGGAACAGTACAGGGACTGCAACCTGGCCAAGATCCCTGCTCATGCTGTCGTGGCCCGAAATGTGAATGGCAAGGAGGATCTGATCTGGAATCTCCTCTCCATTGCACAGGTATTGGCCATCTTCTTTTCCTCTTTTTTTAAAAATTCAATTTTATTTTATTTTCAGTTCTAAATTCTGTCCCTCTGCCCTTCCCCTCCCTCACCCATTGAGATGGCAAGAACTGTAAAACTCATTACAAATATGAAGTCATGCAAAACTCATTTCTGCATTAGCCATGCAAAAACAGAAAAAGAAAGGAAGAGGAAAAAAATAGGCTTCAACCTGCACTCTGAGTCTATCAGCTTTCTATCTGTAGGTAGATAGCATTTTTCATCATGAGTCCTTTGGAGCTGTGGTGGGTCATTGCATGATCAGATTTACTAAGTCTTTCCCAGTTGATTATCTTTATCATATTGCTGTTACTGTGTAGAAAGTTCTCCTGCTTCTGCTCTCTTCTATTTACATCAGTTCCTACAAATCTTCCCAGGTTTTTCTGAAACCATCCCCTTCATACATTTTTTACAGCACAATAGTATTCCATCACATTCATATGCCATGACATGTCTGGCCATTCCCCAGTTGATAGGCACCCCCTCAGTGTCCAATTCTTTGCCATGACAAAGAGAGGTGCTATAAATATTTGTGTACATGTTGGCCCTTTTTCTTGGATCTTTTTGGGGTATAAACTTAGTAATGGCATTGCTGGGTGAAAGGGAACTCAGAGTTTAATGTGCACAGTTCTGGACCGCTCCAAATTGCTTTCTAGGATGACTGAACTAGTTCACAGCTTAGTGTGCTTGTTTTCCCACAGCCCCTTCAGCGTTTGCCATTTTGCTTTTATTGTCTTAGCCAATCTGATCAGTGTGAGGCGATACCTCAGAGCTGTTTAAATTTTCATCTCTCTAATTATTACTGATGTAGCGCATTTTTTCACATGACTATTGATTATCTTTTCCTTCTGCTAAGTTTTCATTATGTTCTTATTTGCTGTTCTTTAAATCCTTTTAAATTCTGGCAATTTTGTTCCTTCCACCAAAGTCTGTCAGAGAAATAAGCACCATGACACTGCAGTGTGTGCAAAGAGCATCGGTTCTGGGCTTAGAGGGCCTGTGTTTAAATTCTGTCTTCCCACTCCCCCATGGGCATTTCATCTCTTTAGTCCTCAATTTTCCCATCTGTAAATTGGGAATATTGGACCTGTTGGCCCTGAGGTTCCTCTCAGCACATTAGATCTTTGAAACTATAAACACATGACCCAGCGCAGCACATTACAGTTTACAAAGCATGTTTATGTCCATTATCTCCTTATTCCTTAAGAAAATACAATGTGATGGGAAAATTAACTCAATTTAGATTCGGAAGTTATTTCCTGTCTCTGTCACTAACTGGCAGGGTGACCTTAGGCAAGTTGCTGCACTTTATGAGCTTCAATTTCTTTGTTTGTAAAATGGACATAACACTGGCATTCTCTACCCTCTACAGGGAGGTTTTGAGGATCACAAGAGAAATTATGTGGAAAATGCTTTTGTGCCTTGCAAGGGGGTATCTCAGCATTGGTTATTATTGGTTCTTTGATTCTTATTAATAACCCTGCGAGGTGGCCTGGATAGATGTTACTGTCTCTATTTTTTTTTTCTTTTTTGGGGAGGCAATTGGGGTTAAGTGACTTGCCCAGAGTCACACAGCTAGTGAGTGTCAAGTGTCTGAGGCTGGATTTGAACTCAGGTCCTCCTGACGCCAGGGCCAGTGCTCTATCCACTGCGCCATCTAGCTGTCCCGTCTCCATTTTAAACCTGATGCTCAGAGAGGTTTAACAGAAGCTAGACCTCAATCCGGGTTTTCTAACTTTTGTCTATTTTAGCAAAATGCTTTGCAATTATTATCTCATTTGTTTCTCACAACAACCCTGTGAGGGCAAAGCTATTATTCATCTCATTTGTTGTTGTTCACTTGTTTCAGTCATGTCTGACCTTTTGTGACCCCATTTGGGGTTTTCTTGGCAGAAGTACTGGAGATACATTTCCTTCTCCAGCTCATTTGACAGATGAGGAAACTGAGGCAAACAGAGTCACACTGTTAGTAAGTGTCGGAGGACAGATTTGAACTCAAGAAGATGAGTCTTCTTGACTCCAGGCCCAACACTGTATCTACTGCACCACTTAGAAACCATCCTCATTTTACAGATGAGGAAACTGAGGTGAACAGAGGTTAAATGACTTGCCCAAGGCCATACGACTACTACATATCTGAGGCCAGATTTGAACTCTGTTCTTCCTGACACCAAGTCCAATGCTGCCACTACATTCCCTTTGTGAACATTTTGGAAGAATTGATCAAGAGCTATGATTCTCAACATAATCAAAGTTGTTTATGATCAGAAGGGAGAGCATTTTTCAAAGAGAAAAGAACTGAGAAAATATTTCTCACCCAACTGCTCTAGGGCGCACATTCTTATATACTTTAAAAGAAAAACAATCAAATGAAAGTCTTGGATAAGATAAATGGAGATAGATAGAACTGAGAGATTAATGGAGGCATACAAAGTAGACAAGAATATGAGGCATATAAGATGGAATCACTGATGCTTAACAGCCCTGGGGTTGGGAGAGATGACTGAGATATTCCAAAAAAGAGGTTAAATATAAATGGATCACAGGATGTTATCAGTTACTCTGAGAAACATGCTTCCTTCAAGCATTTTCATTTGCCAGATGAATGTAAAGTTCCCTCTGCCCTTTCCAGTAGTCCAATAGCTATATCTAATTTGCCATTAGGTCTCTGCACAATCTTCTAGAAGTATAATAAAATAATAGGTCTAGGGTCTTTTTGGTCTTGAATCCTAATTCCACAACAGATTTTAGTTAGAAATTCCTTCTCCCACTTGACCTGTTGTTTTTTGCCTCATGGCTTCTGTTCACTTTTCCTAGGCTAATTTTCTTTGTTCCTTTAATCAGTCAATCAATCAATCAACAATCATTTATAGTGTGCCTGCTTTGTTCCAGGCACAATGCTAGGTGCTAGGGACATAAAGACAAAGTACATACATACATAGGTTTACATAAAACATACATAAAATAGATACAAGGTCATATGGGAGACAGGCTAGGTGGTACAGTGGATAAAGTGCTGGGGCCTAAAGTCAGGAAGATTCATCTTCCTGAGTTCAAATCTAGCCTGAGACACTTCACAGCTGTATGACCCTGGGCAAGTCATTTAACCCTATTTGCCTCAGTTTCCTCATCTGTAAAATGAGCTAGAGAAGGAAATGACAAACCACTTCAGTACCCTTGCCAAGAAAAATCCAAGCGGGACAAGACTGAAAATGATTGAACAATAACAACATATGGGAATGGTGAACAGCAGCTGAGAGGGGGTTAGGCTTAGATTTTATATAGAAGGTGGCACTTGAGCTGAATCTAGGAGGAAACAAGGGATTCTAAGAGACAGGGGGTGGAGAAAGAGTGGATTCCAGGCAAGTGGACATGGCAAGGGAAGATGGCGTGTTCTGTCTTAAGAACAGCAAAAGAACCAGTTTGGACCATGGAGTGGGTGAAAAGGAGCAATGTGTAATTAGGCTGGAAAGGTAGGTGGAGGCCAGCATGGGAAGGCCTTTATGTCATAGAGTTTATATTTGGCTCCTAGTGGGGATAGACAGTCATTGGAGTTTCTTGAGTAGGGAAGAGTAACATTGTCAACATTGGGCTTTAGCAACATCACATTGACTGCTATGAGAACAATATCTTGGAGAGGAAAGAGAAAAGTGACAGGGAGACCAATTAGGAAGCTTTTCAATAATACAGGGGAGAGGTTATGAGGGCCTGAAACGAAGTGGTCTAAATGAAGAGGAAACAAGAGGATGCATATGGGAGAGGCTGTGAAGATCACAAGATTAAGCAGGGATTGTAAAAGTTGGGGGTGGAGGAAGTGAGGAGCTGAGGAAATCTCCAAAGTTGTGAACCTGGCAGGATGATGGAGCCCTGGACTGAAATGGGGAAATTTAACAAAAAATGGGTGTGTGGGACAAGGCCACGAGTTCTGTTTTGAGTCTGAAATTCTTATGAAACTTGAATAGAGAGTTAGTGATGAAAGAAAAAGATTGGAGCTCAAGAGAGATTAGGGCTGGATATAGAGATTGGTGAGCCAACGGCATAGAGATGATAATCCAAAGCATGGGAGCAGGTTAGGTCAATGAGTGAGAGAAGAGAGGAAAGGCCCCAAACACTGGGTTACCTCTTTCCTTGTTAGCAGTTTTCATTCGTGATTCTTTTTTTCCATGAATAGGAAAATTTTGGAAAGGGCAAATCAGAGAAATTCAATCTATTTGCTTCCCAACATGGAAAAGACCTGCTCTTTAAGGACACTGCCAACAGGCTTTTGAGGGTCCCTCCAAAGATGGACTATGAACTGTACCTGGGATACCAATACATCCAGGCCATTAAACCTATTAAAGGTAAGCAGAGACTCTGGTCCTATCAGGTGGGCCCAAGCAGTCTGATGTCAGCATGTGGGGTAGGCCATGATTCTAACTCAGTCTCAGGCATTGTAAGACATCATAACACTTCCAGGCATTTGGCCCTTTGAGAATTCCATAGCACTTTCTAATAATCTGTGGCAATTGATAAAATGGAGAAATGGAGTCTCAGAGGGGTTAAACGGCTGGTCTCCCACAGGCCAACTGTTAAGACCAGACGGTTCTCAGTATTTGTCACCTGACTCTGATAGCCTTTTAGAGGATTTTTTTCGAATGAAGGACAATGGCAAACATTTCAAGAACCATATTGTGAGGCTATTTTGCTTGGCACAGAGGAAATTTTCAGAACATTCCTCCCCAATCATATTTATGATCCTTAGTCCAAGTTGTCAGGAAATCTTCCTACCCACCACAGTTCCAAGCTGACATCACTAAGGAAGTACAGAATCAGAGAATGTCAAGAGATAGAAGGGACCCCTTAGAGGTCATATATTTGAGAATATACATTCATTTATTTGAGAGATCATATATTTGAGAATCTGATCATATATCAGAGAATTTCAGTGATAGAAGGGACCACAGAAACAATATATATGAATATATGATGAATATACATGATGTATAAATATATATGATATATGAATATATCATATATTTGAGAGATGATATACTTGAGCATATATATTTGAGCATATATATTCATCTATACAGAGATCATATATTTGAGAATCTGATCATATATCAGAATTTTGAGGAAAAAAGGGACCTTAGAAATGTATATATATATATATATATCAATATGCATCATATATGACGAACATGTGATGTATGAATACATATGACATGAATATATCATGTTTTTAGAAGATCATATACTTGATCATATATATTTAATAATATATATTCATGTATTCGAGAGATCATATATTTGAGAATCTGATCATGTATCTGAGAATTTCAAGAATAGAAGAGACCTTAGAGATCATATATTTGTTTCCCTCATTTTAAAGATGTGAAAATGGAGGCCATTGAAGGAAAATGACTCCCAGAGTCATGTAGGGAAGTCCTTGAAAGGCCAGGTCACATCAGCTAATTAGGAAGTATTTAGAAAGGAAGCTCCTGGCATACTTTGGTTTTGTTTTTTGATTATCCACAATCTCCTGAGTTCCTGGGTGTTAAAAGAATTGAAAGAGTTCTTCTGGTTACTGGATGAATGATAACCTCCTTTTAATGCTAGAGACTCCAACTCTAAGGAAATTGAGGGAATTAAGGGGATGAGGACAGAAAATGGTTAATTGTGGGAACTGAATAAACTACAACGACTCCATCTTTTGACTCAATTCTAGATCTAGTTCAGTTCCCTTCCTATTCAGTTATGGGTCTAGTCCAACTTCTATCTTGTGAGAAAAGTTGATTCAATTGTGGGAATTGGGAGAGTAGTTTTGTTTGAACTTAGCCCTGTGTGACTGGGAAGCTGGACCACCTTCCCTTGCCTCTCAGAGACCCTTAACCAAGGACACAGGTCATGCAGACCAGAACCCAGTCAGATCCAAAGATTGATGCAAGGAGTTTTCTTACAATTTTTCTTACAATTACAAACTCAAGCAGCTCATGTGTCTTATCTGAAAACTGGCCCCATTCTGATCAATTAGTTATTATTTCCACGTTCCTTTGATTGTTTACACTTGGGGGGAGTGGGACACTTCTTTTTCTGATTTCGAGGAATTGTACCTGTTTGCTCTTCCCTTTGCAACTTGGAAAATCCCTACTCTTTCATCTAATTAGAAATTAGATGACATAATGTTGTATTGTTTCCTTTTAATGAATTGGCCTTATTGGAATAATTGTTTTTCATATAGAAAAGTCTGTCTCTCCCTGTATTTGGGGTCCAGGCCTAAGCTGAGGAGTCTGGTACTGGTTAGTTGGGCAATTACCATACGTTATTTAATGAATCAATAAGCTCAGAAAATCAAACCTTCGTTTTCTTAGTCATTTCATCTTTCACTGACCACAGCTCAAGCATTTTCATAGTGCATTTTAAGCGTTGATTAGTAGGCCAAACTCTGACTTCTCTTCTCAGGGCATGCCCTAGACAAGCTCCATTCTTTAGGAGACAAGAAGGTGAAGTGGTGCACAGTAAACAATGAGGAAAAGAAAGTATGCGACAAATGGAGCGTGTTCAGTAATGGAGTCATTGCGTGTGAAGTGGGAGAAAACTCTGAAGAATGCATTGTCAAGATAATGGTAGGTAGCTCTCATTTTGGTACAGTACCAGTGTTTGGGATTCTTCAGACTAGAGGATCTGGGTTCTAGTTATGGCTCTACTACTTACCAGTTGTATGACCCTGAACAAGCTGCTTGGCTCACTGGGACTCAGTTTCCTTGCTTGTAAAGTGAAGGGCTTTGCCCAAGTGATATTGAAAGTATTGTCTAACCCTAAACTCCTGTAATTAAAAGTAAGAATTTCCTAATGGAGAAGGAAGATGGTGAATAATAATAATAACAATATTTCTGCTGAGTCTGGGTTGCTATGTTAGGGAATTACATTGAACACCAACTTCCCAGGAGCTAAGTGTATGGCTGCCATTATTTAGACAAGCCGTTCTGGCTGTCACTCAACTGAGTGCCTTTCTTCATGCTTCAATGGAGCCGTCAGCCAGACTAATATACGAATGCCTTTTGGTGCTCATGGGAATCTGCTTGAGAAGAAAACCTGAGTCTCTTTAAGCACCCCTGGTTCACTGTTAGCCTCCTCCCATGGACAGAAATAAAGAATCTGTACTCTGTAGGTAATGTTTGAAAACTTCACCCCCTGCCTCAATGGAAGCATGTTTTCTTTCATTTTGTGTGCCTATGAAGATGTGTTACTGCTCACCAAAGAGTCAGAGCCTTCAATGTAACATGCATAGCTTGACTTAGAACCACCTCTACCATGCCAAGGAGAGTGGGATTTTCTTGTAATAAAACATGTACACTTATAAAAAGTAATATTTTAAAATGTCATGTGCTGGGTCTCCTGTGTTGTATCCTAGACTATCTACTTTCTTACTCCTCTATAAAAGGAGGGGGTTGGATTAGATGACCTTGGAGGTCCCTTCCAGCTCTAGAGTTATGATGCCAGGAGCCTTAGAAGGGACTTTCAACGTGGGGAACTGCACCAGTGGGGTAGGGATGGCATCAGAGCCTGCAGACAGCCAAGGTCAATTCTGCAGATCAGTGAAAGACTGCAGCCTCCATCTCTCAGTGGATGTTTACAGAGGGCAAGGGAGGGGAGCGGTAACTAGGGAAAAGCACCATGCTAAGGAAGCGAATAGTGATCATAACTAACATCTACATACAATGCTTTCAAGTGTGCAAAGCATTTTACATATGCTGTCTTAAGTGAGCTTCACAGCAATTCTGGGACATAGATGCCACAGGTATTATCATCCCCTACTCCTTGCCGTTTTACAGATGAGGAAAATGAGGCTGAGAGAGGTTGTGACTTATAACAACAGAAAATTTCCTTCCACCTCTGGAGTGACCACTTCAGGTTCACCATTAGCAGGTCACATAGCTATCAGAAAGACTTGAACTGAGGTCTTCTTGACTTCAGGCCAAGGTTATCATGGATTTCATCCACATACTGGCCAATTAGCTATTATAATTTAATAATATTATAATTTATATTGGAGATAAGTATTCCATAACCAAAGGCTGCATTCCTTAATCCCAAAGTTCATGAATAAGTACAGGTGGTCATAGGAGAATCGGGTGAGATATTCAGAGAGAGCAGGTAGCTTAATATCCTTGGTAAGTGAAAGAAAGGTATGAAGTGCCAAATAATCAGAAAAATTGAGATGGTAGAAAGTAAGTTTGAGACCAGTCTCTATTAGCTTTGAGATCAGTTAACTTCTCTGGTCCTTAGTTATCTCATCTATAAGATGGGGATAATAATTTTAAAATTGCCTAGTGCAGGGAATTGTCAGGAAAATGCCTTGTAAACCATAAAAAACCATAAAATGCTATACAAATGCGAGCTATTATTTTCCTCCCTGATTGCCTTCTGTATGAGATTAACATCCAAGATAATTTTCTGGTGTCAAACTCCATCTAAATTCCTGGACTTCCATCTATCTCCTCCCTTCTTCCCCCTCCGTACTCAGTCACCCCTGTCAGTGAGCATGTACTGCAGCAGTTCTGATGGAGTGCTACTAGGCTAAGAGGAACAGGGGCCAGTCCAAATGTTTTGGTAATGATTTGCTTTGCTCCTACAGAAAGGGGAAGCTGATGCCATGAGCATTGATGGAGGATATGTCTATGTCGCTGGCAAGTGTGGGCTGGTGCCTGTCCTGGTCGAGAACTATAGTAAGTAAAGGGAAAATTTCTCCTTGTGCTTGACTCTCTCTGGACTCTGGACAAAAGATTGTGCACATAGCTCCCACTAGGGATTTTTTTAGGTGGAAGAAGGGTGAGAAATATCAAAGGGATAAAACAGTATGACTAATAATCATTTAAATATTTACAGCTCCAAGATAATGGAGACAGCTCAGGTTAGCCCCTTGTCGTATACACTAAGGTCAAATACCATGTCTTCTTGCTATGCTAAGATGTCCTGAAATGGTCAAAAGGCAAGAAAGGAAAGAGCCTCAGTTATCCACACATTCTAAGGGTGGGCCCCAAATGGAAGGGCCTTTGGCTGAGAGAAGATGCATTTTCACTTTTCCGTGTTATTCTGAACTGGGGAGAATTAAAGATTCTTCTTAAGGGGATAACATTGCAATGGGATAAGCACTTCTACTTCAGAAGACTTGATATTTCGTGAATGCAGATGGAAGATGACACGCTCCTTTGTCTTCTTTATTCTTTCAGCACCTAAGAATTCAGAGAGCCATGGGCCTGATTGTGAGAATAAGCCTGCTGAGGGTGAGTCTGAATTGATGATTCCAGGGATGGAAGGAAAATTTCTGTTATTATAAAAAGCAAAACTACAAAGGAACTCCAGCAGATGAAATGGTAGGAAGCCAAGGTCAGGCTTTTTTTTTTTAATTAAGTTTTTTTGAATTAACAAAAATTCACTTATTCTCACACTTAAAAAAAAAAAAAGAAAAAACCCCATAAGGTCATTTGCAAAGAGTCACTGGAAGATTGCATATGTTCCTATAGATTTTAAGATGTGGAACAGTCCCTGCTTGGGGTTCATTCTTATTAGCCCTGCAGCAGGCTGAGAAGGGGATCAAACTTATAGGTGTTTTTGCTTAGAAAATGGTAAAAACCAATCCGTGTGCATTCAAATAGCCAGGATTAAATGCCAAGTTTCTCATCTGAGACAAAAGATTATCCTGGAGATAGGGAAGAGCCAAATTTCTGCTTACACTCTCTCCACATATATGTGTGCATATATGTGCATGTGTGTGTGTGTGTGTGTGTGTGTGTGTGTGTGTGTGTGTGTGTGTGTGTATATATATATATATGAGAGAGAACATAAACGATGTATGTTAGCTGAATGGAGATGCATTTTATATTACACATACATATAGCTACACATATTCATATAAACCTGTGTGTGCATATATGTATATATATATATATGTATGTATGTATGTATATTGGGTTAGCTAGGTGGCACAGTGGATAGAATGCCAGGCCATGAGTCAGGAAGACTCATCTTCCTGAGTTCAAATCTGACCTCAGACTACTAGCTGTGTGACCCTGAGCAAGTCACTTTACCCTGTTTGCCTCAGTTTCCTCATCTGTAAAATGAGCTGGAGAAGGAAATGGCAAACCACTCCAGTATCTTTGCCAGGAAAACTACTCCAGTATCTTTGCCAAGAAAACCCCAAATAGGGTCATGAAGAGCCAGGTACTACTGAAAAATGACTGAACATAAACAATCAAATGGAAAAGGTTTCCTTAGGAAATAATGGATGCTTTTTCATTGGAAGTTTGAGTACAGTCCGGATGCCTAATTGTTGGGTATGTTATAGTGGAGATACCTTTCTAGTCATGAGAAATGAAGTAGCTGATATCGGAGGTCCTTCCAGCTCTCCAGTGCCATAATTCTGGGGACATTTATATATCTATTTCCTCCGAAGCATGAAGTAGGCTTGGTCTGGTGGCATCGAGTGGCACCTTCTGGAATGCCTCTCAATGCTAACTTTTGCTATTTTGTATCTGTCTTTTTTTTTTTTCAAGGCTATTATGCTGTGGCTGTTGTTAAAGCAGGAACTGATCTTTCCTGGGATTCACTAAAAGGAAAGAAATCCTGCCACACAGCAGTTGGCAGAACTGCTGGCTGGAACATACCCATGGGCCTAATATACAACAAAACCCATTCCTGTGAATTTGGTAAGCTGGTTCTTTGAAGAAGTTATTCCTCCAACTTTCTCTAGTGGTTAGTGGGGAAAGTTACATTGTGAAATCACTCCTTAGCCTGGGGATCAGGGAGTCCTAACCTTTCTATATAGATAGAATCAGGTTAAAACAGATATCAAGGGCAAGTTTGAAGAAGAAAAGTAGTCCCCAAAGGACCTGGGTGATGGTGGGAGAGTGTGTTAATTGACTTTCTATATAGAAGCCTTGAGTTTTTTTTTTAATCATCATCTGGTGGGGTCACCTTCTCTCCATGCAATGGGCGACATACCTGCCTGTCACCTAATCTCTGAAGCTCTGATTTGTTTCAGGGTCTGGGCTTATGATCATCAGATGTCTTCACTTAACTGAGGCAATTAGATAGTTTGAAATAGAGGTTTTTAACATGGAAAGTAAGGGGAAGTGCTCTTGTATTGATTCAAGTAGAAATGGCTGTCTTTCCTCTGTGCAGATAAATACTTCAGTGCATCCTGTGCTCCTGGTGCTGATCCTGCTTCCAGTCTTTGTGCCTTATGTATTGGCAGTACAGACTCACCAGTTTTGGATAAATGTGCTTCTAGTACCAAAGAAACCTACTACGGCTACAATGGGGCTTTCAGGTAAGGGTATTAGATCTGGCCTTATTAAGAATACCACCGGGGGGCAGGTAGGTGCAGTGGATACAGCACCGGCCCTGAAGTCAGGAGGACCTGAGTTCAAATCCAGCCTCAGGCCAAATACTTGGCACTTACTAGCTGTGTGACCCTGGGCAAGTCACTTAACCCCAATTGCCTAAAAAAAAAAATGCCAGCAGCAGCCTCTTCCCCTTTTCTTGACACCTTTCCAGTACATTAACTCATCCTTCTCCCTAGCTGCTTTGGACTATACTTAGAAGGATACTAACCTTACCCTTCTAAGAAACAGATCTTCAAAGAAACTGAAAGATGCACACAATGGCATGGTCAGGGCCCCAAGTGTCCCTGATACCTGAGGGTGAGGGTGACATTCTTTCTCCATAGACCCCCCCCAAGATGCCTTGCTTTCTTACTGCTTTTCTTCCTATTCTCTTGGACCTAAGTCTTTTGTCACTGACTGTTCATTATTATAGCTTATAAACTCTTTCCCTGTAATGTAGAATTGAAAGTGGTACTAGGAGGGGAGCATCTAGGTGGTGCAGTGAATAGAGCACCAGCCCTGGAGTCAGGAGGACATGAGTTCAAATCTTGCTGCAAACATATAACACTCACTTAGCTGTGTGACTCTGGGCAAGTCACTTAACCCCAATTGCCTCACACATACACATACCAAAAAACAAATGGTAGTGGCACAGGATTAATGCTGAACTGTAAAATCATAGGTCAGAAAGGGCTCTTATAGATCATCTAGTCTTACTTCATCATTTTATAAATGGGGAAATTGAGGCTCAGAAAGGTGATGTGACTTGCTTGGGATTGTGCAGCTGGTTAGGGGCAGGGCCACAGCTAGTAGTGAGGTCTCCTAACTCTCATTGAGGGATTTAGACCAGGTCAATAGGATGCAGACCAGATCCGTGGCTCTGCACATTTGGTCACTTGTGGATTCTGCCAGCACCGACAGATTTGTTGGGTTGTCACTGGGTTTTTTTCCTAACAGACTGATGTAACACTGTGACCTATGAGCAATGTGGCCCTTTATTGCCTCTTGGTTGGAGTGAAGGCAGTATAGATTAGAAGCTGAAAGGCTGAAGGGAAAGGCAGCATGCTGCACTGGAAAGAACACAGAGAACCTGTTTACATTCCTCCTGATGCTTACTTACCTGTATGATGTCAGGCACATTAGGCCTCAGTTAGCTCATCTGTAAAAATAAGTATTGGTCCACATGTGGCCTGGAGGCCAAAGGGTCCCCACCTCTGATCTAGACTCTGTGAATTGAAGTGATAGGTAACTTATCTCCTCCTGAGGCTCTCATTTCACTTTGCGATTGATCTAAATGATGGTTGTGGTTCAGTCATTTCAGCTGTGTCTGACTCTTTGTGACCTCATTTGGGATTTTCTTGGCAAAGGTGCTAGAGTGGTTTGCCATTTCCTTCTCCAGCCCATTTTATAGATGAGGAAACTGAGGCAAGCAGGCTTAAGTGACTAGTCCAGGGTCACACAACTAGTAAGGGTCGGAAGCCAGATTTGAACTTGGGAAGATGAGTCTTCCTGGTTCTAGGCCTAGCACTCTCTGCGCTGTGGTGCCGCCCAGCTGCCTCAAAGAAATTCTTAGTGCTCAGTAATTTTGGAAAAGTGCTTTCCCCAAAGGGAGCCTTGGGGGAGACAAACCCATGATTTCATTGGTTTGAAACTCCCAGGTAGGAAATTCCTTCTACTAAGTGCAGACAGGTGTCTGATTTATAATTTATAGTCTTGCTAGTTGCCTGGAGCAGAGAGGTGAGGTGATTTGGCCAGGATCCCACAGTTAGTAAGCTAGTATGTATCAGAGGAAGGACTTGGCATAGAGTCTTCATTCTGACTGGAAGGCTAGCTCTCTCTCCACTTTACCCAGATGCCTTTCAAAGGGATCATAGAATCATAGATGGTTAAAACTAGAAGAGTTCTAAAAGGTCAACCCCTTATTTTACAGAGAAGGAAACTGAGGGGTTGAGAGTCATGTGACTTGCCCAAGGTCCTACAGGCTGTGAGTGACAAAACCAGGCTTTGAACCAAGGTTTTCCTAACCAAACATACTTTCCATGGCTTCTTGCTGTTGAGGGTTCATTGGGAAAAAAAAAAGTTGTCATGTCAGACAAGTCTACTGGATTTTTTGATCCTGTTCCCTGTGGGAACAGAAGAAACCTCAGAAGTCACGTAGCCTAACCTCCTCACTTTACAGATGACTGAGGCACAAGGAGGTTGTGATTTGCCAAAGGCTATACAGGTAGTTTCAGAGAAGGGATTTGATCAGGGGTGGGACCCTGTGGCCTCAAAACCACATGTGGCCCTCTAGGTCCTCAAGTGTGGCCCTCTGACCGAATCCAAACTTCACAGAACAAATCCCCGTAATAAAAAGATTTGTTCTGTAAAATTTAGACTCAGTCAAAAGGCCGCACCCAAGGACCTAGAAGGCCTCGTGTGGCCTCAAGGCCACTGGTTCCCCACCCCTGGATTTGATACGATAAATCTGTCAGGTTTTTATTGTTGTTGTTGTTGTTTCATGTAATGTATGGCCACTTGACACATTGAATAAATTGTGGTTGGTCAAAGTGGATTATGGGACTAAAGCATTGACTTCTTTTTGGTCCATAATGAATCACTGACCACTTTGACCACACTCAATCATGCATGGTGCATAATGACTTGATTTTTAGTCATTCTTGACCAGGCTAAAAATAAAATATTTTGTAAAGATTTTGTTTTATTGGGTCAAAAGGTAAGAACATTTTAGAAATTTTCTTTGCAGAATTCTAAATTATTTTCTAGAGTGGAAGAAATTCACAGCTCCATCAACAATGATTCAGCATGACCGTTTCCCCACAGCTCCTCTGACATTGAATGTTCTCATCTTTGGTTATCTTTGCCAATTTCCTGGATGAGAAGTTAAACCTCAGAGGTTTTTTGTTTTATTTTGCTTTGGTTTATTTTGTTTTCAGTTCTCTGCAGAGCAATCTGATGTAGTTATTAATGGTTTACAATTCTTCTGAGGACTATTTGTTCGTATTCTTTTATCACTTATTCATTGGAGAATGGCCTTTGGTTTTCCATATTTGTGTTAGTTCCCTCTATCTCATGGATATCAGAACCACATTAGAGATATTAAATGCAAAGATTATTTTTATTTAATTGATCTCTTCCCTTATCCTAATTATACTGATTGTGTTCAGGCAAAAGATTTTCAAACTCATTTAACTGAAAATATCAGTTTTATCTTTTGTGATTGCCTCTATTCTTCGGTTCAGAATTCTCCCTTTATCATAGTGGTGAATGGTATTAGGGTAGGCTGTTACTATTAATATCATACACCAAGTCCCGTTATGGATAATTGGATAGCACTGAGGTGTCTGAAGAGACAAGAAAACAAAAGTGTTAATAAACATAGCACTCTGATGGTGCAACAATGCCACAAATCTAGTTCTGGCATCAAATCCCAAGTAGAGAAGAAACACAAACATGGGGATAGCCATCTCCAATTTGTGTTTGCTTTTAGTGATCCTGATCCTCTGTGGGTATTCTGTTACCACATTTTAAAATATGGTTCCATAGTGATGGCAGTTTTATGAATGATTTGCAAGCAAAACAGAAAACTTAAAGACAAGACTCTATATCTGAAAGCCAAAATGTGATGAATGGAAACATATTCACCCTCTTCCCTCTTGTTTTCTCCCCTTCCTCTCTCTCCCCCTCTCCATACTGGTTTACATAAGATGAAAAGGTGGACATTGCTATATCTCACAAAGAGAGCTATTGAATTAAAATCTTTCCCAATGTTTAAACACTTGTTAATGGCAAATAATTCCACCCTTCTCATTAAATAGTTTACAATGCTGTTAGGTTTTTTGGGGAAAGCGCTCTGATAATAGAAATTTAAAATTTTTAATTTGCCTTCTGTTTTTGCTATCATCAATAGTTGGCATTAAAATTTTGTTTGAGAGATTATATTATATAGGCACCACTAAAATTTTGTAGAAAGTAAAGGCTTCTATCAGTGCTAAGATAATATGATGACAACTACATTATACTAACAAAATGAATGGAAATGTATTCCTTTTTTTGCTTTTTGGTGAGGCAATGGGGTTAAGTGACTTGCCCAGGGTCACACAGCTAGTAAGTGTCTGAGGCAGAATTTGAACTCAGGTCCTTCTGACTCAAGGGCCAGAACTCTATCCACTGCACCACCTAGCTGCCCTGGAAATGTGTTCTTGATGAGAACATGGGAAAGATTACATGAATGTAGTGGTTTCAGAATGGCACAGCAGGAAGGGTGCTGATTCTGGAATCAGAGCATTTGGGCATTTCCTGGGCCTTAGCTTAATTATCTGGAAAATGAGGAGATTGGACTCTATGACCTCTGAGGTCCAGCTCTAATGCCCACAATCCTATAAAAGAAGGTGCATGACTTTGACAAAGATACTCTTCAAGAAAGAGAATCTTAATGTTGACTTGCTTTTCAGCTGATTGTCTGTCTCTCATCTCTTGTAGGTGCCTGGTTGAGAACAAAGGAGATGTCGCCTTTGTGAAACACACCACTGTCCAGGAGAATGCAGATGGTATGTGACTACCTCTAATTTTTGACTACCCATATAATCATGCTCTCCAATGGGTCAGCACCTTTGCTAAAGTAAGTTAGATACATAGGGAAATCCATGACCTCCTCTGGGCTCCAGATACAATTCGGTTCCAGTGAACCATGAAGTCAGGACCAAGGGTGGCACATGGACCTTTATACCAGACTTGCACAATTCATTTCAACAAAGAATGATTGAGTATATATAGTTACACAGAGCATATATGGTTATGATAGGTGTTAAGGGAAGCAACGGACTGTAATGAAAAGAACACTTGATTTAGAGTTAGTCAACCAATTTGAACCTGAGTTCAAATTGTGGTGTTACTTATTTGGCATTTGGTAATCCTCCTCTCAAGGTCTTAGTTCCCTAAATTGTAAAATGAAAGAGCTGGACATTAGTTACTTTCTTAGTTTCCTTTGAGCTCTAGTATTCAATTATGTATAAAGCATAGATAAGATGGAGTTTGCAGTATGATAGTTTAATGTGAGACATTCAACAATTATGTCACAGATCGTGATGCAATCAGTAGCAACCCTATGATTCATTCCCTACAAGGGTAAAACTGTCAGAGCAGAATGAGGGAGGTATAAAAACATGAAGCCTATGGAAGAGACAGCGACAGGTTGATTTTGAGTAGAGCCCAGACTCATATAAAGGAATAGTGGGAGACAGTAATGGTCCTTGCCTGACTGAGGACTAGCTAGCCTTCTGCACAGAGGTGGTCAACCATTCACATGGTAGTCAAAACCATTTGAATGAATAAATGAATTCTTTCAGGGACCAAAGGAACATAGATTTAGAGCTAGAAGTGACCTCACAGCTTATCATACAGTCAAACTCTTTCCTTTTACTGATGAGGAAACAGGTCCAGAGGAGTTCCACATCATGCTTAAGATCACAGAAGTTATTACAGATAGAGGTCAAAATTTGAATCTGGGTCCTCAGACTCCAATTCCAGAGCACTCTTTTCAGTGTCCGTCACTTCTCCTCTAGCAGCATGATGAGGGATAGATTAAAAAAATGAAAAGGCTTATGATGAAATCTGTATTCACATGAATGTGCTATTATATGAGACATAGGATATTCACTGAAAATCTGTGAAGCAGCTTTCAGAATTGACTCCCCAAAGAATTTCATCCCCAAGGAGAACCTGGCAAGTGAAGTATAGAAGCTAGTGCTAAATGTCTGGGAAGAAGTCAAGTTTTTTGTCTTTTTCCATTAATACTCAGAGGTATTTGGAAACAAAAGACCAAATTACATTCTCTTTGGCCTTGAAACCAGAGGTTTGGTTTGAACCTCAAGAAAAAGTGTGATGGGTGGAGGTGGTCAGGAGAAGATGAATGATTGGTCATGATATCTGAAGTTGAACTCTCTTCTGGGGGGGAGGGGACAGCAGATCTTTTCTTCATTTTCTACATCACCATGACACAGATGTATAGATTTTATAAAGCAGTAAATTAAATCCCTAAGTACTCCTGATTATATGGGTGATAGCCTATGGATTAACAACTAGCCAAAGTCAAAATGGCTGCTGGTGACAGTCACTTTCATTCTCATTTCAGGAAAGAATACAGAAGATTGGGCAGCAAACCTGAAAAGTGGAGACTTTAGGCTCTTATGTTTAGATGGAAGCCAGAAGGAAGTGACCCAAGCACCAGAATGTCACCTGGCCAAGGCGCCAAACCATGCTGTGATCTCACGGAAAGATAAAGCAGCGTTAGTTCGCCAGGTGCTGTTGGATCAGCAGGTCTGTAGATTTCATGCCTGCCATCCCTTTTCCTTACTTAATTGGACTTGAATCAGTCCATAGGGTGGAGAACCCAGTCACTTAATCTTGTTTCTACTTAAATCTGGAAGGAGGTCATTGGTTGTAGTCGTATGTTCACGCTATTGCTCTGTTGTGAGTCTCTAAGTAGAAAGAAAGGAAGAACATACAAGAACCTTATGTAACACTCTGTGAGTGAGCTTTCTGGCCCAAGAACAGAGGGGTATGAAGTTTTTCAATCTCTGTTCCTTCTTGAGCTTGTTGGGAGATTGCCTAAACTCACCCTATTTCACTTAGTTCTTTCCTTTATAGAGGTGAGAAGGCCTGGGTACAAATTGTGAGAAATAGATTTGGTTTTGTTTTTACTGATCTGCTTTTTTAAAATTAAAATCAAAATGGTCAGAAATAGCACTGGTAGAACTTAGCACAGCACTGGGCACTATGAAAAAGATATTGTCTCTGAATTCAAGATATCACAAGAATGGCAAACTAAATGACCATTCTAGGGAAGGTCTTTACTTGTTTATTGGTGGAATAGGTAGCTGCTGCCTAATTGTTTGATTGAAGGGGGATCCCGAAAACCCCTCTGCTTTCCCACTTGGATGACACGCTGCCCCAGATTCTACCAATTATTCCTTTAAATAAAGGGATATTATTTCTAGGAAACTGTTTTAAATTTCCCTTCAGTAGGGTAGTGTGTTAAGTGCAAATCCTTCAGCACCTGAGAAGACAGTAACATAGCTGTCAAAACAAGGCTCTAAGGAGAACATATAGAGGAGAAGTAAGTTTTGATGGATGGTAGAGGTGATGTTGATAATGTTAGGAAGGGAGAATGTTGACAAGGTAAAAATAAAGACACCAGAGGTCAATTTCAGTTGCTTTGAAGCTTCCTGTAAGGTTGATCCTGAGCAAACCATTTTCCTCCCATTTCTTCCTGGATGCCTGCTGATAAAGTATCTGTCTCTTTAACCCAGAGCCATTTTGGAACTTATGGGACTGATCGAGACACTTTTACTATCCTCCCCAAAACCAAAAACCTCCTGTTCAAGGACAACACTGAGTGCTTGGCAAAACTCCCAGAAGACATCACCTATGAAAAATTCTTAGGACAAGAGTATGTCACAGCCGTTGGCTCTCTCAAGAAATGCTCGATTTCCCGTAAGTAGAAGGAAACCTCATGGGGGAAACAGGGAGCAAACAACCAAATGGACTTCTTAGGAACACAGGAATCATAATGTCTGAAAAATATTGAGTATCTGCTATGGGTCTAGCACTGTCCAAGGTGCTGAGGAGACAAAAACTAATAAAACGGTACTCAACTTCTATCTCACTGTCTCTAATAAACAGCCATGTAGGGGACTGGCTGGTGACCACAGGGACTTCCCTTCAGCTTGCTGTTGGCCCTTTTCTTCCCTTTTCAGCATTAGGTTGGTCCTGGATATAATCCATGGCATCAGGGCTAGTGGTGAAGAGGAGAGTAGAAGAGAATAACTTCAGTCATGTCAAGAAGCATTTATTAAACATCTATAATTCTGTGCCAGACACTCTACTTAGGGCTTTGGATTCAAAGAAAATAAAAAACCAGTCAGAAAAATCCATCTCCTTACTCATTACAACCTTTGGGTCCATCCAAGATCCCACTCCTTAACTCCTTTGACTGTCCCTCCCCACAAAAGTACAAAAGGAGAGTCTGAGAATGACTTTACTTTAAAATTCAAATGACTCTCCTCAAAGAGCTACCATGTGTACCTAAGTGTGTGACTGTCTTTTCTTATAGAAAAAAAAGCAGTCTAGGTTATGCAGTGGACAGATTGCCGAGCAAGTCAGGAAGACCTGAGTTCAAATCTGACCTCAAACACTTACTAGCTGTATGACCCTGGGCAATTAGTTTAACCTCTGTCTGACTCAATTTCGTCAACAGGGGATCATAATAGCATCTCCCTCCCAGAGTTGTTGTGAGGATCAAATGAGCTAGTATTTGTAAAGGGCCTGATATGTAGTAGGTGCTTAATAAATGCTTGTTCCCTTTCTTCTATAGAGAAAAAAGAAAAGAAAGAAGGATGAAGGGGCACAAGAGGGAAACTTCCTCTTCTTTTCTGCTCCTCTCATCACCACTTTTATCAACAGGAAAAAAATGAGTCTTAGAAAATTTCAAAAGAGCTATGTGCTGCAATATAGCTGACCCAGGGAAAGAAAGGGAGTTTGATTCAGAAGAGAAAGGGAAGTGGACTGGCTTGTCTTTGGGGCACCCAAGAGAAAAAGGGATGTTTGCCAAGAAAGTCCAAAGCACATAGGAAGAAGTGTCCCTGCAAGTTTCCAGGAAACTAGCCAGAGCAGGAATCTCTGGAACCCCATAGGCTTTGCATCCCCAACTCTTCCTAGGCCCTCTACAACCTCTGCTCAGGCTGGAATCACTGGCCCTGGCTCACAAGAGGCAGCTCCAGTGGCTTGGAGCTTGAGGAGATCTTTGCACAAAGCAAAAGCTGGACTAAATGACCTTTCTGGCTCCCATTCAGCCCTAAAAATGTGTGTGTGTGTGTGTGTGTGTGTGTGTGACATCAGAATAAAAAAGAAACAGACACAATAAGATATCATAACAGGAAACTAATCAACAGCCATTTGGAAGGCTCTGCTTCTGTGGTGTGTGAGGCTGGATAGAGGTGCTCTTGGCAGTTAAGGTAAAAGGGAGCGTGAGGCCACGGCAGGTACCCTATCCCATTAAGAGGTGGGTGAGGGAGAATCATTTCTAGGCTTTCTCTTCCTTGACTATAATTTCTAGTATTCTGCTATTTTACATGTTGCAGGAGGGTGGGGGCAGAATCGTTTTTAGCAAATAGCTGGCAGAGTCCAAATAACTGTCTGTACCATTTTTTCCCCCCACAGCTCTCCTACCTGTCTGTGAATTTCACAAATTCTAGAAAGCCAGGAAAGTGAGACCTCCTCCAACGAGGGACTAGCCACCAGAATGCCGTACTGCTCTTTGCTGTTCTCTTTCCGGACCGCCCAGTGTGGTGGGGACCTCCTTCTCACTTCCTTTTAACAGATGACCCTAGAGGGGAATAACCTCTTCAACCTTCCCACTTCCCTGCTGTCATCTGAACAATAAATAAAGTGGAAGAATGTCAGTGATTCTGTGTCTTCATATTAACCTTCCTTCACATCTCATGGTTTTTTTCTTTCTAGATTGCTCTGCCGTATTGCAATCCCAATTTTGTTTTAGATTAGATACATGATTTCATTGGTACAAGGAGCTCTCACTGAGGAAACTAACTCTACCAGTGTAGACTAGCTCCTGTTCAGTCAGCTACAGCCTTAAGAGTGGCCCAGAGACACTGAGAGGTTGGCTTGCTTGGGGTTACCTAGCAAGGAGCAGAACTAAAACTAGCTCTTTCAGACTGAGGCCAGCTTTTATTCACTATACCTCACTGTTCTCTGCAACACCAGATCTGGAATAAAATATTCTTTACAGCTAGATCCCTCCTTAAGTTTCCACAGATGTTGGGGTATGCTGGTCAATGTTTAACAACAGGCTCTCATCATCACTTTCTTAAGTCTAGAAATCAGCAAAATAATATATCAAGCCCTGATCTGTAGCATTTACTGATTTCTGAGAGACACAAATGCTCACAATGAAAATTTAACAATCGGCTCAGTAAAAGCTGACTTCAGCACACCCCTGATTCTTCTTATTCTCTGACAGTACCAGAAGCAGCACCCTAGTCAAGTCACCTAAGTGACAGCCAATCAGTAGTTTCTGCTGAGAGGGTCTAGGCCAGAGGTTCTGAAACTTATTAGCTTGCTGCCCCCTTTAAAAAAAATTACTCAGTGCCCCCTTGGAAATCTACTTTTTTTTACTCTTTAAACTGTTCTGAAATTTGCATCATTTAAAAAAAAACATAATTTTTAAAAAAAATGATACATCTTAAATTTAATAATTTATTGTAAATTTGTGGGTTGTTTTCCTGCATTGAAATTTATGGTATCATTTCATAAACAAAGTCATTACTCACACACGTTACTGCCGATGCATGCTGGACTTCCTGACAATGCATGAAATGCTTGCCTGCCAACACTTGCTTGTTAAGACCTGTGGCAGACTTGGCCAGTTATTGGTTATAAGTTGCATTTTGCATGTTTATTTGGAAAATAATGTAATCACTGTGACTTTAACTGTTATATAACAGATGAAACAGCTTTGAATGATTTTTCAAAATTTTCATATCTTCTCCTTTCCTTAAGCTTCCATCAGTCCCTTATTTTTATCTAATGCCCCCCAATTGCACTTGAGGCTACTACCACCCCACCTGGATCATTTCAGCACCCTCCACCTTGGGAACCTATTACTCTAGGCAGATACTCTGAAGGGGGCAAAGGATACGGTGCTTGAAAGAGGAGAAAAATGCATGGAAGATGTTTCTGTTGTGATATCATAAATTAGATATATCAAGTACAGGAAAAAACATATTAAGTGTGAGACATAGGATGAAAAAGACTTACTATGCAGTCTTAGAGATGTACAAGGACCATCAATTTCCAAGCTTGCCAAACTCCATGTTATTTTCTAAATACTATACCTTTCCTCTGTTCACCTGGGCTCTAGAATGACTATGCCAATATGTCAGTTAATACAACAACTAGCCAATCAAAAAGACTTCTGAAGCCCAAAACTTCCAGACATACTTGATCTTTTGTGAGTAAACTCAAAGTGAATTTGGAGATGCCTGTTGCTGCCAGAAACCAAACAGCTCAAGGGTGATCTTGAGCAGCAGCTGCAGACTCAAGACTTTGCTCTGGACTTTCTTCCTGGTTTATTATGTCTATTGATGTCTTCTCCTTCTCCCCCTGCCCCCTCCCCTTCCCTGCTCCTTACTGTGATGTTTAAAAAGTTTAAGACATAATTTCTAGGTAATTCAATCATTTTATGAACAATGCCATCATTTTAAATAAATGGGCCAGTGGCATTCTTGAATGCCAAAGACAATCATGGCAGTGGGCTCATGGCTTATATGCCTTTTGGAAAAGGGGTGTTCCCAAGGGTGGCAATCAACTCTGATTAGTTAACAATTAATGAAAGAATGATTATTACAATGATGGCCTGAGAGTGACATCATGTCAAAGAGAGACTACCCCTATATTGAGACCACTCCCAGCCTTGGGCAATCTATTCAAATTTATTACTACCCATACCTGAGTATGGTGAGTTGATTAAGTGGAATGAAATTGATCAGGGTAGTACTCTGATCAATTTTATAAGCTTATTGGAAGATAAGCCTTTGTTTAGAGCCTCTGATTGTCTAGACATAACTCTCTTTATAGAGTTGGTGCCATTTTGAAAAGACAGAAGACCCACTTGATTAAGACTTCTCTAAGATGGATAGGTTTGGGCTTGCTTCTTGATGCCTCCTAGGGGATGAGTTTTAGTGACTGGGAATAATTCAGTCTTGGGAGTAGCTATGAATTATGTTTTCTGATGGCAAGAGATTTTTTTTTTTTAATTTTTGTATCCTAAGCACAGTGCCTGCTGGCACACCAAGGGGCCTTACTAATAAATGCTTGTTGATTGATCGATTCAGGGAAGACAATGGGTTTTTAAAAAAAATTTTTTCCTGACTTTCAATGGGAGCCATCAAGAACTCATCAGGGGAAAGGTAGGAATGGGGGACAGGATGTCTGGATACACATCTGCTCCAGAACCATTAATGGTTTTCTTGGGAGAGAAGCACTGAGGATCTACATGTGTTCACCCACACTGCCCTAGGGGAGAATTAATGCCATTCCTTCATTAAAAAGGGATGATTTTATGGGCAGTGCCTATTTTATCAAGTTTTAGGGAGAGGGATACCTTCATTGAATTGCTATAAGGTAGAATATGAGGGAAAGCAGAGAATGAAACTTTCTTGTGGTATAGGGAGCCATTCAGTGTGAATATAGTCTATTTGACTTGAATATGGCCTAAGAGGGAACATGGAGGGCTTAACAGCTTTTATGTGTAAGTGGGTCCTGGAGTGTCCCATGAACTGAAAACTAAAGATAGGCTTCTTGTCTCCCTGTCTACCTATATAAAATAACAAGAGGGACACAAGATGAGACACAAGTTTCAAAGATACGCATGGTGCTAATTCCTTTTTAAAGAGGAATTGATGTTTATTTAATTTCTCCTTGGCCATGTTCGAAATATTTTTAGCAGGGATCTGCACAAGGTCCAATGTGTCCTTGCCCCCTCTTCTTTACTGCTGTTGCTCTTCATGTCCATTTCCCTTACAGATGGCTGTTGGTTTCTAGATGTGGCTCTCCTTGATGCCAGGAAATAATTATTCAGTATAAATTGAAGCCAGTTTGCCCTTGCAGGTATAGGGAGTACAGAGTCTGAATGGGAAGGGTTTAGAAAGGCTGGTGAGTGATATAGGGGTCCGGACAAACCACAATGGGAGGCTTGAAGGTTAAAAAAAGAGAAAGGTGTTGACCATAGTACTTGAGGATAAATTTCATACCCATCTTCTCAGAAACAGGCAGATGTTTTGGTATGGTCAGCAGTTGTGCTTTACAAGGATAATTTATTCCCTGAATATGGGAATAGCTATTTGGGATACAAAAGGCACAAATTAAACAGACCACATAATCACATGTGGTGCATTGACTGGGTTCAAGAGCAGAGGTTTCCCTCATTCTCAGCAGGAGAATCTGCTTAGAGATGTCATTATTAATTTTCTCCTGAAGGATATTATTGATGATGGATGGTATGAACAGTTGTAGCAGAGACTGCCCCTCCTTCAGTGATGTATGTTTTGGTGTAATTTAAACACCACGGAAATTGTGTAGTTTTGTTTATCTGGGTCTGATATTGGAGCTCAGACTGATTGTCATCTCTTTGATCAGAGCTCAATTTATCCTTAGGTTGATGGCTAGGACTTGAGGAAAGTGTGGTACTACATTCTGGTCTTGGTGGAACTTTTTCCCAATCCTTCATATTGTTGAAACTGTGTCCAAGGAAGTGGTGAAGGCTGATTTATTTTCAGTCTGGTTTTCAGAGCTGGATAGAAGAGTGACTGGCAGATCAGGACTGATAAGAGGTGTGATCTCTTGATCTGTACTCAATGACTTTTTTGCTGAGTGAGGTAGGTCTGAAAGAGATGTGTTCTGAGTTTGGGGGTCTGGAGCAGCTTCTGACTTTTGGTTGGGGCTACTTAGAGGTATGGTCTGACAGTTGGAGTTAAGGAGACTTGTATCATCAGGATCAATGCCCATTGGAGGTGTTGCCCCATGATCCTGGTGGAAAGGCCTGGTGGTCCATTGCCAATGGCATAGTTTCCAAGTGGTCTAATTCTGGTTTAACTGAGACCTGGGCATTGGTGTCTGGAATGTCACTCACCTTTTAGTCAATACTCAGAGGAGGAGTGATCTGGTGGCCAAGTAGGATGGGGTTTTGTCTTGGATGTCTAAACCCACTAGATGTGTTCTTTCATGATCCTGGATGATGAGAGTTATCGCTTCATAGTTTGTTCCTGGTTGAATTGCTTTTAAGTGGACTTGTGTATGAAATGAGATTTGGGTATTACTGCCTGATGCATCCATAGCCTGGTGGTCAGGGCATGGTGGAGTTGGAGTCACGGTCATCAGGTCCAGGTAGAGCTGTGTGCTTGGGGTCTAAGTTGAGGAGAGATGTTGCATCCTGCACCTGATTTATAGGAACTATGGTCTGGTTATCTGTTCTTGGGGGTGTTGTTTCCAAGTGTTTTGTTCTTTTTGAAGTTATAACCTCAGCATGGGGGTCTGATGTTGTATCCTTGGCATTGTGTGGAGGTATGTCATGATTGTTGGAGACAGGCAAAATTTGCTTCTCTCAGTCAGGGCTCAGTGTAGTTGTTGCCTCACAGTCTTGTGTCGTTGAGATTCTGGGCTGGTGGCATTGTTTCCCAGTGGTCCATTCATAGTTCAACTATGAAGAGCTGGTCTAGCTGCATGTTAAGTGATGAGTGAAGAAGTGGTCCAATGGATAGAGTTAGATGGAGTTGTGCCCTCATGGTCTAAAGCCACGGAAGGTGCTGCTTCTTGTTGCTGGACTGTGAGACTTTTTATAGCCATATGCTCTGTTTCAGGGGGCATCAATTCCCAATGTCCTTGTTCTGGCTGGATTGTGACTGGAGCATTAGGACCTGGTACATCAGTATCTTGAGAGTCATGGATAGATAGAACCAAGCCTTGGTTGTCAGGGCCAGGTAGAGTTATGTCCTGGTGGTTTTCACCCAGTGGAAGTATTGCTTCCTGATCATGGGCTGTGAGAATTAGGGTCTGTTGTTCTATTTCCTGTGGCATTGTTTCCCATGGGTCTTGTTCTGTTTGAAGTATGCCCTGGGCATTAGGATCTCTCTTATCTTCAGCTTGATGGTCAGGGCTGGTTGTACATGTGGCATGGTAGTCAGGGTCAGGTTGTATCATGTTATGATGTTCTATGCCTAGTAAAGGAAGTGCAGTCCAGTGATGCTGGTTTGTCGATGTCATAGCCTGATATTCTAGTGCTCTTAACCAAAATATAACCAAGTCTTCTTGTTCTTTTTGAATTATGTTGACTTTAGGGCCTGGAATATCCTGGGTCTGGTAGTCATTGTTGAGTGAAGGTGGGTCTGGTAGTCTTCTCTTGTCAAAAATATGTCCCAATTATCTTGTCTTTGTTGGAGTGTGACCTTAGAATTGGGCTCTGGTATATCCCCAACCTGGTGGTCACTGTTGGATGGCAGTGTGGTTTGGTGCTCAGGATCACATGGAGCTATATTCTGGGGCTCTATTATGCCCATTGAAGGTACTGCCTGGGAGTGCTGACTTGTGGGATTTGTTACCTTTTCATCTAGTACTGATGGCATTATTTCCCATTGGTCTAGTTTTGGTTGGAGTGTGACCTGAGCACTGGGCTCTGGTACGTCCACATCCTGGTTTTTATGGCTGGATGAGGGTGAGGCTGTGTGGTCAGTATCAGGTAAAGTTTTGTCATGGTGTTTTATGTCCCATGGAGATATTGCCCAGGAAACTTGGGCTGGTATAGTTGTGCCCTGCTGGTCCAGTTCTATTGGCCAACATTTTCCCCATTCATCTATATCTAGCTGGAGTGTTTCCTGAGCACTGAGATCTGATAAATTTGAAGCCTGGTCATCATGACTAGGTAGAGGTGTAGCCTCATGGTGAGGATCAGGTGAATTTCTGTCTGGGTGTTTTATGTCCCACGGGGATGCTGCCCAGGAAATCTTGTCTTCTAGAGTTGTGGCCTGCTTGTCTAGTTCTGTTGCACACGATGTTTCCCTTTTGCCTAGTTTTTGATGGAGTGTGGCCTGGGCATTGAGGTCAATTACATCTGAAGCCTGGTCACCATGTCTGGGAAGAGGTGTGACCCCATGGTGAAGGGCAAGTGAAGTTCTTTCTTGGTGTTTTAGATTCAGTGTGGATGCTGCCCAGTAAACCTTGTCTTTCAGAGTTGTGACCTGCTTGTCCAGCTCTGTTGGATAAAATGTTTCCCATTCATTTAGTTCTTGTTGGAGTGTGGCATGAACACTGAGGTCTGATACATCTGAATCCTGGTCCTTATGGCTAGGGAGAGGTGTAGCCTTGTAGTGAAGTTCAGGTGAAATTCTCTTTTGGTGTTTTATGTCCCGTAGGGATGTTCCCCGATAAACATTTTCATTTAGAGTTGTGGCCTGCTTGTCTAGCTCTGTTGGACAAGATGTTTCCCATTCATCTAGTTCTTGGAGTTTGGCCTGAGCACTGAGGTGTGTTACATCTGAATCATTGTCCTCATGGCTGGGTGGGGTTGTGGTCCCACGGTGAGGGGGAGGTAAAGTTCTTTGTTGATGTTTTAGATCCAATGTGGGGGTTGCCCAGTAAATCTTATCTTTCAGAGTCGTGGCCTGATGGTCTACTTCTGTTGGCCAAGATGTTTCTCTTTCACCTAGTTCTTGTTGGAGTGTGACCTGAGCAATGAAGTCTGTTACATCTGAATCCTGGTCATCATGGCTGGATGGAGGTGTTGCCTCCTGCTGAAGGTCGGGTGATGTTATGTCTTGGTGTTTTATGTCATATAGAGATATTGCCCAGTAAACCTTGTCTGTTAGAGCTAAGGCCTGCTTGTCTAGTTCTCTTGGCCAGGATGTTTCCCTTTTACCCAATTCTTGTTGGAGTGTGGCCTGAGTACTGAGGTCCAATACATCAGAAGCCTTGTCATCATGGCTGGGTGGAGGTGTGGTCCCATGACGAAGGTCAGGTGAAATTCTGTCTTGGTGTTTTGTATCCGATGGGGATGTCACCTGGTAAACTTTGTCTGTTAGAGTTGTGGTCTGCTGATATACTTCTGTTGGACAAGATGTTCCCCTTTTACCTAGTTCTTGTTGTAGTATGGCTTGAGCACTGAGGTCTGTTAAATTTGAAGTCTGGTTCTCATGGCTGGGTGGAGGTGTCATCCTATGAAGAGGGTCAGGTGAAGTTCTGTATTGGTCTTTTAGACCCAATGTAGGTGTAGCCCAGTAAAACTTGTCTTTTAGAGTTGTGGCCTGCTGGTCTACTTCTGTTGGCCAAAATGTATCCCACTCCTCTATTTCTTGTTGAGTTATGGCCTGGGTACTGAGGTCCAATACATCTGAAGCTTGGTTCTCCTCACGGCTGAGTGGAGGTGGGACCCCCTGATGAAGGTCAGGTGAAGTTCTGCCTTGGTCTTTTATGTCCCATGAGGATGTTGCCCAACAAACTTTGTCTTTTAGAGTTGTGGCCTGCTTGTCTAGTTCTCTTGGCCAAAATGTTTCCCTTTTGCCTAGTTCTGGTTGTTGTGTGGCCTGGACACTGAGTTCTAATACATCTGAAGCCTGGTCACCATGGCTAGGTGGAAGTGTGGCCCTATGGTGAAGATCAGGGGAAGTTCTGTCTTGGTATTTTAGATCCAATCTGGAGGTTGCCGAGAAAACCTGGTTTGTTAGAATTGTGCCCTGCTTCTGTAGTTCTCTTGGCCAAAATGTTTCCCACTCAACTGTTTTTTGTTTTGATGAAGCCTCAGAATTGGAGGCTGGTATATCCTGGGCTTCCTGGTTATTGCCAGGTGAAGGTGTAGCTTGGTTGTCTGGTCCTTTTGTACAAAATGTGCCCAAATTATCTGGTTCTTGTTTAGGTGTTGTGTGTGCACCAGAGTCTTCTGGGGTATCGTGGGCTTGGTGGTTATTATTTGGTGGTGGTGTGGATTGGTGGTTTAGTCTTTGTGTCCAAAATATTTCCTTTTTATTTACTTCTTGACTGAAGACAATCTGGGCACTGTGGTCTGCTGATATATCCTGGGCTTGGTGGTCATTTCCAGGTGGAGGTGTGTCTTGGTTATCTAGTCTTGTTGGCCAAAATCTATCCCACTCATGTGGTTCTTCTTTGAGTGTAATATGTACACTGGGATCTTCTGGTGTACCCTGAGCTTGGTGGTCATTGTTTGGTGGAGGTGTGGACTGGTGATTTAGTCTTCTTTTCCAAATTGTTTCCCATTCATCTAGTTCCTGATGGAATATGACCTGGGCACTGGGGTCTTCTGGTTTAGCCTCAGTCTGGTGGTCGTCACTGGACGGAGGTGTCAACTTACGGTCTAGTTGCTTTGTACAAAGTATTTCCCACTTTTCTGATTCTTGTTGGAATGCATTTTGGTCCCTGGGATCTTCTGGGGGATCTTGGGCCTGGTGGTCTATGCTGGGTGGAGATGAAGACTTTTGGTCTTTCCTCCAATTTGTTTCCCATTCATCTAGTTCTTGTTGGAATATGACCTGGGCACTGGAGTCTACTGCTATAGCCTCAGCCTGGTGATCCTTGCTGGGTAGAGGTGTAGTCTGTTTTTCTGGACCAGATAGAATTGTTTTCTGAGGGGCTATTACATGCTGTGAAGGTGTTGCCCATTGATCTTGGCCTTTGAAATGTGTCACCTCATAATCTGGTCCTAGTGACATTGTTTCCCAGTCATCTAGTTCTGGTGTAAGTGTGCCCTGGGCTTTGGATTCTGGTTCATTCTCAGCCTGGTATCCATGACTGAAGGGAGCTGTGGCTCTCTTGTCATAGTTAGATGGAGAAGTATCATTGTATTCCACGCCCACTGGGGGTGTTGCCCAGTAAACCTGACCTGTTAACATTGTGAACTGGTAGTCCCGATCTTGTGGAATCACTTCATAGTGGCCTTTTTCTTTTTGAAGCAAGTCCTGGGTACTAGGGTCTGTCACGTACTTGACCTGATAGTATTTAGAACTGGGTGAACATGTGGTCTGATGATCAGAAGTGGATTGGGGTAAGGCCTGTTTGGCTGGAACACCAGCCATTTGGTGATGTAATGAGGAGGGCACAGAGGTAGCTGTCACCCAGTGACTAGCTGATCCTTTGTCCCATGGCTTAACACCTTGTGATAAGGCAGATCTTGTCCTGGCCTGGAAGTTTGAACTCGATGATGGCAAAGTTGTGCTTTTAACACAAAGTTTGGGGCAGGATGAATTTACAGTGGCTGCTCTAGTTTTCTGGTTCAGGCATAATGAATATGCAGCCAGGGGTCTGGAGTGGTGGTCAATACATCTTAATAGTGATACTGTTTCCCTGAGGTGGAGGTCAGGATATGACATCTTAGAAGCTTTTGCCTGGACCCAGTGGTCCAGGACTGGAGTTTTCAATGCTGCAGCCCTGGACCAGTGGCTAAAGCAAAGTGATGATGATGTAAGAGTGGCAGTGTGTCTCAGGTTAAAACTTCCTAGTGTCGTAGCAGTTGTAGCCCTGACTTGGCTCTGGAGCCTCCTTGCAACTCTAGCCTGGTTACCGGGACTCATTGAGATAACAGATGGCTTGTCCTTGCCATGGAAGTCAGGATATATTCTTCCTTCAGTCATGGACCTATGGCCCAGGAATGAGGAAAGCTCAGCCTTATTGTCAAAGAATGGTGGAGATGGGAGTTGCTGGTTGAGGGGTAATAAATTCTCAGTTGAATGGTCACTGCTCAGGAAAATCTTGGGAAGGTGGTCAGAGCCTGAAGGAATCATGTCCTGGTGGAAGGATTTCAAGGCTATTTTGTCCTTGATGTCATACCTATTATGTAAAGGCAAGACTGAGGCGACTTTCTGGTATCTGTGACTTGGGGACACTTTAGTCATATCCTGGTGATAAAGGTGAGGTAAAGGCACAGCCTTTGTCCTGGCAAAAGACTGGGACAGTTCTGTAGCTGTGGCCAGATGTTTTAGCCATGGTGAGGATCCAAGTTCATTCTGATAGTAATAAGAATGTGGTGGAGTTTTGGCTGTGATTCTGGTCTGGGGGTCAAGATGGGACATTTGCTCAGTCTGGGACAGATGGTCTTTTTCCCACAATGGTGAAATCCGGTGAGGGGGACATGGCAACAGCACCGAGTTGGCCGGGTACCAGTGGCTACTCTGAGGGAACTGGACCAAGTCTTCAGATGAAGAGAATGTATTAGTAATGGTAAGAAAATAATATACATACAAGGTGTGTGGGAAAGGGAGCAATGGTTAATTGGACAGCCAAGATGTCATCTTAGTGGTAACCTCACACTTTCATACATATTGTGTGAAAGCTAGGTGGCTTAGTGGATAGAGCCCTAGGCATGAAGTCAGGAAGACCTGAGTTCAAATGTGGCCTCAGATGCTCACTAGCTATGTGACCCTGGGGAAGTCATTTAACCTCTGTTTACCTTAATACATGTTAGAAGGAAAAGGCAAACCACTCCGGTATCTTTGCCGAGAAACCCCATGCAGGGTCACAAAGAATTGGACATGACTAAACAATGAACAACAACAACAAACCTTGAACAAATCACTTAACCTCTGTTGCCTCAGTTTCCTCAACTGTAAAATGAGGATAATAATAGCACCTACTTTGCTTGTTATGAGGATCAAATGAGATGATTTTTATAGTAGATGTTATATGAATGCTAGATATTATCATTAATATCGTTTCATTTGGTACTCCCAGGAAGCCCATGGGATATCTTTAGAGAAGGCTTTTTTTTTCCTGACAATAACTCTGCAAGTTAGAGTCCAAGTAAAGCCAGATGAATAAGACAGGTGGTTTAAGTGACTTGCCCAAAGGTATAGGGCTAGGAAACGGTAGATAGCCAGGACTCTATCCTAGGATGTTGAGGTTCAAGGCACTTGAGTGTCTCCCAAGGGCACATGAACAAGAACTCAGGTCTTATTTTTAGCCCAGTGTTCTCACCACTACACTATGATGGTTCTGGGATCATAGCATCTGGATCAAATGGTTCAGAAGGAGGGATGTGATGGGGGTACCCACTGGTAGATTTGGGATGACTGAAAACTAAAGTCTTCTCACCCTTGGGAAATATCCTGTGTTTTCTTCCCATTCAGGTACTGGAGGATTTCCTAGAAAAATGATTTTTCAACAAATAAGTACCAAGTACACTGGTCCCACTGACATCCCCCTCCCCATGGGTAGCTTCCCTCCCATTACTCAATGACTGGCTTCCCTACGAGCTCACCCCACTCTGCCTCTCTGAGGCACTTCCTTTTAAACCCAATGAATTCCTCTTCCCCATCCCAGATAATTGATTTTAGATATAGACTTGTTCTTTCCTTACCTCAGGATTACTTTCAACGCAATTGGAAATAGATGAAACATTTAATCATTGTCTCAAAGATGAACCTCCTACCTTCTCAGTTCTTTTCTCCATGGGGTAGTTAAAAACTACCCTAAGGAAAAGAACTGAGAAATTATTTATTTAAAGAGATAAAGGACCAAGGAAAGAATAGAATTACTATCCTCCTATGGGCATTCTACTAGGAATTGAAGACATAAGCAAAAAGGATGGAACTTCAAGTGTTGGTCAGTCAATTAACATTTATTAATTAGGTACTATGTGCCAGGGCACTGTGCTAAGTACTGAGATTACAAAGAAAGGCAAAAGGTAGTCCCTGCTCTCAGGGAGCTCACACTCTAAAAGGGGAGGCAATATGGACGTAACTATACACAAGCAAGGTATAGGCAGGATAAATTGCAGCTAATCAGCAGAAAGGAGGTACTAGAACAAAGAAGGATCAGAAAAATTTCCCAGAAAAGGCGGGATTTTAGTTGAGACTTGAAGGAAACCAGGAAGCAGAGTATTCCAGGCATGGGGCACAGCCAGTGAAAATGCCCAGAGTCTGAAGATGGAGTACCTTGTATGAGAAAGACCCAAGGAGGCCTGTGTCAGTGGATTGAAGAGTACTTGGTGGGAGGGTGGGGGTCTGAGGTATAAGAACACTGGAAAAGTAGGTAGTATGTGTTTTCAAGTGAAATAGACTTTTCAAGGTCATTTTCCCAAGTCTTCATTTGATCATTGAGGCAGCTGAGGGATAGGCAGGTTAAATGATTCACCCAGAGTGTGTCAGGACATAAAGCCCAGGTCCTGTGCACTCACACCAGTACTACACAGCTCACTTGATCACGCTGATTTCATGGAACATTTTCTTAGCTGAAGGTCCCTTTTCATAGCCTCCTTTGATTTTTACAAAATGATCCTATGATCTCAAAATCCAAGTCTGTTCTACCCCTCTACCTTCCTCAAAAGAGTTTTCTAATATTCTTCTTTCCATGATGATTAAAAGCATTTTATTTTGAGATCATGGAAAATGTTCTATTAGAAATGAACTGTATATCAAAAACTTCTGTTGAGATACATTATGCCAGATCACCCAGTCTGCTTCTAAAATCTCCATTTTCTTTTTCTGTCTTATAGATTTTCATCCTATTAATCCACATTGCATTGCCCTCTCTGTACAGGGAGCTCTCTCCCAAAGTGACTGTAACCAGTAGGATCTACAAGAGCAGAAGGGAGGGTATTTCAAATGTCCCAAGATCAGAACACTGGGATAGTCCAACTTAAAGGGCCTTCAGCCTCCCTAATTTGTGAAGGCTAAGAGAATATATTAGTAATGATAAAGGAATAAAACCAAAAAGACTAAGAAAAAAGCTACTCTCTTAAAAAAAATTCCTCCTGACAACTGTGTCCTGAAAGATAGAGGAAATTAGATGTGCTCCTTCAGATGCTTCTGGAGCAGAACTATGGTCTTGACCCAGATATCTGAGGTATCACTGACATCACAGTGCAGCGCTAATGTCCACTGTTAACCTGGTGTACATTTTGTGTAAGAGGTGATCTATGACACGGCCCTTTTCCCATGGGTTCTTCCTGACAAAATAAAGATGGATTGATCTTGTAACTTAATTAAAAATGGAATTTCTTGTTCATTTCTGACAACAGATTTCCCTTTAATGTTCTTTAACAGAAATCTTGTTATTATTTTTATGCTATAATGTTTTGATTAGTCTCTGTCATATAAGTATCAGTCATTGTTTTTTACAAAAATGAATTTATAGCCAGACTTCCCTGTTAGAAAATAGAAACCGCATCTCCATCTTTGGAAGTTCTGGGGAGAATTAGTGCCCCAAATAGCAAATATTCTCTCTCTGTCTCTGTGTGTTTCTGTCTCTGTGTCTCTGTCTTTCTCTGTCTCCAAAAAGCCCAAAAAATAATATCCTGGCATCCCTGAATAACAATATATAATATGTAGCATTGTCATAGACTGACTACAAGTAGTCTTCCAGAAGGAGCTTTAAGGCTAATCATAAACATGCTTGGGGAGTATTATAACACTCTACTTTGGTGAGCCCTGTAGCTATTTACCTTGATGACCCACAGGCATAAAACAGGAGTGATAAAGAGAGTTCTTCAGGCTTGGCAGAGACACCCTACCAACCATCCATAGCCTAACTAATTCCAACATAAGGTTGACATGGCATTGAGAAATCTAGCCTCTTAAGTAGCCCTTTTAAGGTGAAATATCAATTTAAAAATCTGGCTTACATTACCCAGGGTTTTAGACTTAAGGGAAAGAGGAAAAGATAGCATTGCTCACTTGTGGAGATCTTCAGCCCTCCAAGAATTTCATCCTATGACTTGGTTTGTAGTCTCTTAATAAACCATGCATAAATATATGTAATATGAGACAATTTTCAGTGATGACTATGTAAATGGAGAAAAAGGACACAATCTTTTTTTTTTTAACTTTAGTTCCTGAACATTTTTCTGTGCTAACCCCTTCTCCCTGCCCTCCCAGCAATACTCATACTTTTAGGTTGTTTCTGTTGAAAGCAATATAATGTAAAGAGGAGTTGGAGTTGGAGAATCTGCAGTTTAAATCCTTTTTCTACTTACTATGTGACCTTAGGTAAGTCACTTAACCCTCTATGTACCTCAGTTTTTCTAAGCTGTAAAATGAAGATGCTGGAGACTGTATGGAGGACATTTTACAGTGGGAATTCCTTCCATCTATAGTTTGGAACTAGAAGGCCACCAAAGTCCATTCCAACTCTTAAATTCTCTGATTCTGTCTTTCAAAATAATTGATTCCCTTTGTAATCCTGTGTACTTTATCTTATGCATGATCATTTTTTTCTGAGGTCTAATTATTTTGTTCTTTTAAAAAAATTTCCAGTTCCAAATTCTCTCTTGCCCCCCATCCATTGAGAAGGAAAGAAATATATCTATTTATTTTATACATTTAAAAACATGATTCTGAAAAGGGGCCCACAGACTGCCAAAGTTTGGCTTCACCAGAAAATGGGTGCATGACCCAAAAAGGCTTAACTTAAGAACCTCTAAATTACAATTTGGCCCTATAGACAATCGTTCCCTCCCTCCCTGTCCCCAACTAAGGCAACTTCAAACACATGCAGAATAGTTGCCACAAGACTTCTTACCAGCAAGAACTATTAGAAAAGCAGGAAACCTCAGGGAATTTCCAATGCGCCAAAGATCAGAAATCTCGCAGTACAATTCTAACTTGAGGTTCTGGATGGTAGCTCTAAGCTTCTCCAATGGAAGGAGGCTGAGAGACCAAACAAGTCTCCAGAAAAATAAACAAAAAGCAAAGTCCAGTCTGTTCAGAAGAGTAGCATCCTCTCCTGAGAGGACTGTGTCCTGGAATGCAGGGAAAACTAGATGTGTATTCTCTAACACCTGGAGGAGCAAGCCTCTGGTCCTTGAGTACAGGTAGGAGGTCAGAGGGATCACTGACATCATAAAGCACCTGTTGTCTTTCATTTGCCTTCCATCAGTGTTACCCCACCCATCTCTAGGGAACCAGTGGCATTGGAGGCTGGGGGTAGTCAGTGACATTTAGATGGTGATATTTGCCTATGTTTGTGTTTAGTATTTTGAATTCAAGCCACTCGCCTTGAAACTATATCAAATGCAAATGTTCTTGCTTTTTAATTTCTTTTTAAAAATTTTGAACTTAAACATCAAAAAAGAACACTTTTGTATGGATAGCAGATATGAAACTGTGAGCCTCCATTTTGTACTGGGAAGCATCTGCTGCTAAAAAAAAAGCATTTAGTAAACAGTAAATTCTGAACGTTATTTTCAAAGCTGTCCTGCTTGTCTATGTTTCCTTACAAATTTCCTTTTGTTCTTTTCTGTGTGTCTGAAAAACGTTTTAGAGGGCAGGCCAATTGCTAACCATCTCTCCTTCTCTGTCCTCTCCCCACTAGAAACCAAGAAAAAGAAACAAATCTTCTAATAATAAATAAGCATGGTCATGCAAAATGAACTCCCACAGTGGCCATGTCCAAAAGCATATATTTCTTTTTGCACCTTGAGTCTATCAGATCTTTCCATTAGTAAGTAACATATTTCACTACAGGTTCTTCAGAAACATAGTTGGTCATTGCATTGATAGAGTTGTTCTATTATAAATGGTTCTCCTGGTTCTGCTCTCTTCTTTCTGCCAGTTCACACTGGCCAAACCACCCTAACTAGTTTTAGCCTTGATTACTAGGTGAGACTGTGGCACCGTCCATCAATCACAGGCTTTAGGCCAATAGTCAATAAACATTTATTAAGCACCTACTACATTTCAGGTGCTGTGCTAAGTGCTAGGAAAAAAAAATATGAGAAAAGAAAATCCCTGCCCTTCAGTTACAATCTAATGAGGGATAACACACACAAAGGAAGCTGAAAGAGGGGAGGGGGAGGGAAGGGGAAGTTACCTGACAAGGTATGGTGGAGAAGTCAATCAGAGAAGTCCCAAAGTGGTGCTGCCAGGAGAGAGATGAGGTGCCTGAGCTGGAGTCTCTTCTTAAGTGAAGGTTTAGAGTTCATGACCCCACTTTCCAATCAGAAAGGAAGAGGATATCGATGAGGTGGAATACCAAGGTTGAGGGGGTCTTGCAGGATGGTGAGGCTAAGTGGGAAGAAGCTGAGAAGGACTGTGTGTCCAGGATATATCAGGACAGTTTGGGAACTCAGCTGTGTCTCAGAGGCTACCTATAACTTTGCCAAGCTAGTTAGAATTAGATTCATTTGAAAGGTTGGAACAAATAGGACATTTTGTTAAAACTGAAGAAACTGCTTGAGGTGGGGGCTTGTTGTGAAGGAAAGGTCTTCTCAACTCCAGCTTTGGCCCAGGTCTCTGGCTGGAGAAGGAGCTTGCAAGTGTTAAAGGGTGTGGAGGATTTTGGACCTCCTCCCATCTTCCCATTGGTGGCCTGGGTAGGCAGCCAGGTGTCACAATGGATGGAGCCCTGGGCCTGGAGTCAGGGAGACTGGAGTTCAAATATGGCCTCAGACACTTACAGCTATGTGATCCTGGGCAAGTCACTTAACCTCTCTGCCTCAATTTCCTCAACTGTAAAATGGGGGGGTAATGAGTACCACCTGACTCCCAGGATTGTTGTGAGGATCAAATGAGAGAGATAATATTTGTGTAGCCTGAAGCCTGGTTCTGGAATGGGGCCACCCTTGGGGAGCCTTTTGTGCATACTCAGTTTGCCTGATATAGAACGCTTTGAAGGGTTAAGTAGGTGGTGCAGTGGATAGAATGCTGAGACTGAAGTCAGGAAGACTCGTCTTCATGAGTTCAAATCTTGCCTCAGACACATTTTAATTGTGACCCTAACCAAGTCACTTAGCCTTATTTGTCTCACTTTCCTCATCTGTAAAATAAGCTGGAGAAGGAAATGACAGACCATTCCAGTATCTTTGCCAAGAAAACCCCAAATGGGGTCAGGAAGAGTCAGACAGGACTGAAAAATGACTGAGAGATCACACTGAGTACCCTACCACGGTAGTGGGGTAGCCTCTTTGATTTGCTCTGTGTCTTTAAAATTGCCGAGACTGAGTTGTTCACTCTCTTTTCTGCCCCTCTTTCAGCTGGGCCCAGTGGGGAGACCAGGAATCAAACTGGTGAGAAGGGAAGGAGTAGCCTTCCCTACTTTGTTTTCTTTTATCCCTGTCTCTGAGAAATGAGCCTGGTGGTGTTTGCTTTTATTTTGTGTTGTTTATCCTCAACTTCACGTGTGGAAGGTAAGCCTCATGGGGCCGAGGAGTTTGAGCCATGGTGACCTTGGAGCCAGAATTGTAGGCAGGGTCAGATATGAGCACTGAACATTATGGATTGAGCAACAGAAACTGTATTTATAATGATAATAGTATTATAATTATTATATTATATATTATTTTTATAATATGATGCATTATTATTATTAGACAGGAAAATTGAACCCAGAGATAACTCTCTTCCTTCCCAAACTTCCACAGAGACTCACAGGGTACAGATTCAACCCACAAGGGTCAAAAATAATGCTAGCCAACATAGCATGCTTGCCAATGCAGATGTAGATACGTAAGTCTATAATGGTCCTGCTGGTCAGCCCACATAAGCTACTAGCTCTGGAATAAGAGCTGAGAGCTCTGTTGATGACAAGACAATTATGACTTATTAGACTAGTCACTTGGCTGAGTTCTAATGTTGCAGGTAAACCTGAAGATATATATAATTGCGTATCTCTCTAGGCAACAATCAGAGATTACCTATGTGAAGATGTGCCTTGCATGTAATTGCATGAGTTTGTTGCAAGTTTTAGTATGTTTGTTTCTTATTGTGTTATATTCATTTGATCATGTTTCGTGTCATATTCATGCTATAGCAATGTCTGTCTGTCAGTTCTTTTGCGTACATGCTGCTGCTTATAGTTAAGTTGTGTTTTTGAAATGTGCATGTGTTTTATAACCTGTATGCTGTTAGGTGTATTGTTACTGCAGTATGTTCCCGGGTGATGCTCTCTATAGGGCCATATCTACTGCAATGTACTGTTAATGCGCATTTGTTTTATTTCCATGTCAACTGCACTGAAAGTTGGTTACCTGGTTCACCAGGAAAATTATCCTGTGTTTATACTGTATAGTTACAGGGTTTGGACTGGCTCCAGGTGATCTATTCAAGGTACTGCAAAGAGTTTCAGCCTAGGGGAGGAAAGTAACAGTTGGGGATTCTGTCTCCTTCTTGGTGCAGATCAGTGCCTGAGTGAGGGGTAGGGTGGAGTTGGTGAGACCCAGAGAGAGGAGAGGTTGTCAGTTCTTGGAAAGATTTTCAGCTCTTGAGTCTTTTCATGTTTCCATCTCTTTGGGCTTGAGTCCCAAGCACCTAAGCTTCTCAGGGCTTCCCTGCTGACCTTGCTGGCTGCACCATCCCCCTGCAATCCTGCCTCCAAGGATGTCATGGCACAAACTCCTGGGACCCATAGGGATCACCTCCAGCAAACAACACAGGAGGGCATCAGAGAACAAATAACACAGAACAGAAACAAACACCCCCAGACCCATTTCTCTGAGTCAGAAAAAAAGACAGGTAAGCAGGGAAGGGTTATTCCTTCCCCTCCCACTGGTTCAGTTCACTGGGCTCAGCAAAAAGAACACAGCTAAAAAAAATGGTGGAAAAAAGAATGAATGACTGACTCACCACTCGTAAAGACGAAGGCAGCAAATCAAAGGACCGTCATGTCATTTACATAGTGGAAGACTTAGTTGGCTCCATATCAGGTAAACTGGACATGCTCAAAAGGTGAGGGTGTCCCCATGTCAGAACCAGGAATGTCCAGAAAAACCTGTGGTACATTTGTAAAGTGCTTAGCTCAGTAGGCACTATAGAAAGGCTTATTCCCTCCACCCTACCTATATCTCTGGATCAGCTGAGGGCATTGCCAGCCTTGGGAGCAAAGTCTAGAATCAATATAGATTCACAGCTCTGCATAGGAGTCTAGCAAAGGAATTATGCCAGGACTTAGTCAAATTAACTTCATTGTTACCTGTAACTAAGGGAAACTTCTTTTGACAACTAGGAGCTATGAGTTACTCCCCTTACTTTTCATTAGACTGTGTATGTACTTCAGGGAGAATATATCACAGACTTTTCAGGGGATGTTTTGTACTAATTATTACCACCTTAACAAAGGGATATCCCTTTTCTAAAAGCTATTTTAGGCTGACTTGTTAAAATGATTATCAACTAATAATCTTGGGAGAAAGTTTACTAGTAGGGACTAGGCTGATGCCATTAGAGAATCACCACTTTCCAATCCAAAAGGAAGAGGGTAGTGATGAGAAGGAATATCAAGGCTGATGGGATTGTATAGGTAGATTGAGAAGTCCCAAAGTAGTGCAGCCAGATAGGAAACAAAGAGTTTTGAGATGAGAACCTTGACTTCAAAAAAGTCTGACATTTGCAGGTAGCTATTTCTCTGGATGAGAAATTTTTCTGTTAATGGGATTATTCTAGGTTTTTTTTTTGTTTGGTTTGGTTTTTAACCAGTAATCCTTGACAGGGATAATCACTCTCTAGTTCTATCCTATCAATAATTTAGATGCATTTACTCAAATACCTTTAGATGTCATAATAACTAAGAAGTGATTCCTATATTGGCTTTGTTAGTCAATCAGCTAATAAGAATTTATTTTATTTTTTATTTTGAATTTAACAAATACTGAAAAGAAAAGAACATTTCTATAGAAGAGGAAAGGCGTTATGTGTGAAAATACAAAACTCTATTAGATACAGCTTGCTTTTAAAAATAAGATGTAACCTGGGGTTTAAGGCTATTTGCATAAGACTCTCCTCATTGATAGAAATTAATCACTTGATTCTCACATCTGCATGAGGGATGGAGTTGGAGAATGCTTAGGACAAGACATCCTTGTTATGGGAACTGACTTTGAGCTTCTTATGCATTTGGCTCCAGATCTTCTTCAGGGAGTGGTTCCTGAAATGAGAGAAAGACTCTGAGAAGCCAATATGTAGAGGACCTGGCATCTCAATCCAGCCCTATCTCCTATTTATCATTCTAGGGCAGGCCTGCACAACATACAGCCCTTGGACCTCTTGCAGCCTGCCAAAGGATTTCAGAGTAGCCTGTGAAAATGTAGAGAAATGTAAAGAATATTAACAAAATGTAAAAAAGTAAAGATGTAATTAGTGCTTTGTCCGAGCCCCACTTAACCTGCCTGCCACCAGTCACTATTGTGCCCCTCATGTAACTTGGAGGGTGGGTTGCCTCTGAGAATTCTCTCCTGTTTGTCATGTGACCTGTGACAACCAACAATCGTCAATCTGTCTCTAGTCTAAGAGGAATGAGAGCCATACCTTTTCACTGTGTTTGCAGTTGTTACTGGTGTTGAACAGGGACCAAGTGAGTGCAGCCATGCCCCAGTGCAGCCATGCGATAAGCGACAACAACCCAAGGTCTTCTTCCCCTTCTTTGCTGCATGGCCGCACTGCCATTCTCCCAGTTACGAGTGTCTGGCGCTGTCTCCAAGGTCAGACACTCAGTGCAGTATTTCTTTACATGTGAGCAGTTGCTGTGGAGATTTTGTGGTTTTAACATTAAAGTTTTTGGGGATGATTTTATAAAATGGGTGATTAAAAAGAAATGGAAGATCAAATCAGAACACACAGTGTTTAATCCGGAGTGGACAAATAGATACTAGTTTACTTATAAGAGAGACAAAATACAGTGCCTTCTTTTCGGAGAAGTAGTAGCCATTCCCAAGGAATAGAATCTTTGTTGCCATCTTGAATCAAAAACATCCTGACTTAAGCAAATTGCATACCAATGGAAAAAAAAATGAAAGTATCCAAACTGTTGAAAAACCTCAGTGAGGAACAATGATTTTTCAAGAAAGTAAACTCAGAAAAAGAGGCGGCTATTAAGGTCAGTTTTCAGATTTCTAAAGAAATCCATTTCAAACATGATTCCAGAGTATGATAAATTGATCGCTGCCAAGAAGTATAATATGTCCCATTAACTAAATATAAACAATAAGAAAACCTGAAAAATGTATTAAAACTTGTATTGCTTAGCAAAATATTATTAACATTAATGTGATTTCATGATAAATAAAAATCTTAATAAGAGTAATTAATTGATATTAATGGAAATTTCCCTTTTTAAAAAATATGGTTTATTTGCTGAAGTTTAATAATTAATTACACCTTTACTTAAAAAGTGAGTCACTAAGAACCTATCTGTGGCCTGAAGAAGTTTAGCCTATTTTAATTTTGGCCCCTACCTACTGCCAAGTCCTGCAGGTCTGTTCTAGAGACTTAGTGGAATTTCCCCTTGGGAAGTTCTGGAACTCTTTCTTTCTTATGGTTGAATTGAGATGTCTCTCTTCCAGTGGGAGAGCTTCCAGAGTGGAAGAGCTGTTTTCTATTGGTTTTGATAAATGAATTAATTTGCTATTCCTTGTGTGATCATCTTTGTAGAATTGGCATGTGGTAGGAAGAGAATTGAACCTTTGCATATATATTTTGGAGCCCTTCTTCTACATTGAAGGGATAGTGATCAGGACAGTGGCTTGAACCTAAAAAAAAATTTCCTCCAGGTTAATAGTATTTAGTGAGGCAGATAGATCTATTTCTAGTCCATTGCCCACCCTCTGAGGAAGCAGAGTGGCCAGCATTGTGAACCCCATCTCCTGCTCCCCTCCCAGCAGGAATCAGTCTCCCATAGAGATTCTAGAGCCATCTCTTTACACCTTTCTGCAAGCCAGACAGACCCTTGTAGACACACACAACCTATATGGGCAACCCAAAGATTGTGTACAAAAACATATTCTAACAGTGCTTCTGGCAAGGCTTGGATTGGCTGCCTTGTGAAGGAATCTTAAGTCATTAAAGACTCTGGGAATTGGACTTTCCACCTGGGAAGAGAGGACTATATTTTGGGACCAGAATAGGGCAGGGTTCTCTGCTAGAGCAGCAGCTTTTAAAATTTCTGTGGATAAGAAAGAACTGATGGAATGTAAATGCAGATTGAAGCATACTTTTTCTTAACTTTTTTTGTCTGTTTTCTTTCCCAACATGACTAACATGGAAATATGTTTCACATGATTGCACGTGTATAAGCTTATGTCAAATTACTTTCCCTCTCAATGAAGGAGAAAGGGGAGAGGAGGGAGGGAGGGAGGGAAAGAATTTGGAACTCAAAAAGTTTTTAAAACAAATGTTAAAAATGGTTTTTACATGTAATTGAGCAAAAAAAAAATTAACTAAAAAAATAAAATCTCTCTGGAGGAATGAGAACTGATGAATCCTGAGCACAGACTGAAGCATATTGTTTTTCATTTTCCTTTTTTTGTAACATGAGTAATATGGAAATATGTTTTCTACACATTTAATGGATATTATAATGCTTCCCTTCTCAATTAGTCAGGGAGAGGATGGAGAGAGGGAGAGAATTTGGAATTCAAAATAAAGAATGTTAAAATTTTAAAAATATATAATATGAACAAAAATTTAAAAATGTCCCTAAAATAAAGTACAGTTTCTCTGAAGGAAATAAGAGGAGAAACAAGATTTGGTGGGAGGGTGAGGCAGTCTACAGTAGCTATGGCATGTGAATGATGCTTTCCAGAATACTGACTAAGCCTCATAGTAGTCTAAAGCTCTTTCCTTTCCCTGGGTTATTTCAGCTTATTAAGACAATACAGCAGAGTGAGTGAATTCTGACTTCTTGGAGTAACTGTTGGAACAAGGGTGAATCTATTCCACTCTCTGTTTCTTGCCAGGTGCAACTGGTAGCAGCGCTCATTATTAAGGGTCTCATTCCTATTTTAAGTGCTTTTTTACTGTTTAGTTACACTTCGAAACAATGGTTTAGTAGATAAAAGATAATTTTATTTACATCCTGCGTTTGTGTTTTTGTTAAATTGTGATGAGAAGGGAAATCTGAGGATAACTGATTACACTAAATTTAACTGGGTGGTAGATCACCCTCCCAAGCTTGGCGATCAGCAAATTGACTGGGGGCTCAGAACATTTTATATTTTTTCAATCCATATTTTTAAACTTTTTTTTAAAAATTAAGATTTTATGTAGAGCAGTGGTATCAAACTTAAATAGAAATGGGAGGCACTAAACATAAGGATCCCTTCAGGCCATATATTTGATGCAGTTTGTGGTACTGGGAACCCCAAAATGTAAGGGTACGGGGTGAGTCTGCCTGGAAAGAATTTGAGCACTCAAGCCTTCTTTCAGTCAAAGTAGGAGATTTATTGTGACACCGTTAGGAGCTAGATTCTGAGTGAATCTGCAACTTCATGGGGGGGTAAGACTAATACTCATATATGAAAAAAAGACTGTGAAAAGATTTGGGTAGGATTAAGCAATGGTAAATAGCCTGGGATAGCCCAGTTGCAAGACAGTGAAAGAAGTTAAGTGGTCTGGGCTGGGTGGAGAGCCACAGTGAAAGGACTATTGAGTATCTAGGTGGGCAGGGATGAGCCAGATGCCCCTCCCCCCCAAAAAAAAATCTCAATAAAAATCTATTAAAAAAGAAAAAAATCCAGATTTGTCTACTCCCTATGTGCCTCTATCTCTCTACATAAAATTAAAAAATAAGGTACAAAATAAGACTCAAGTTTTGAAGTCACATAAAAGGATCTGTTCCTTTAAAAAAATACAGTCACTTAATTTCTCCTTTGTCTCTTTTGAAGTTCCTCTAGCAGAAATCTGAAAAATTTCCAGGGTCCTCTTCTTGGTTCCTCCTCCTCTCTGTTTCTGTTACTCTTCTTGAGTGACTGTTGGCATCCAGTTTTATTGGCTCTTTCCTGAGGCTGGAAAAAAATCACCAACCCTTTTTGACTTTTTAGGCTGAGGAGGCACAGGAGATGTATGGGAAGATACTGAAAGTGTTGGTGGGTGACGGTGTGAAGACCTGTATAAAAAAGCGTTTGGGGGGTCAGAAAGGGAGTATGTCAATGTCTGGGGACATTTGAGGACAAACTTCACAGCCATGTCTTTCTCGGAACTGGATACCATTATTGGTGTGGCCACCAACTGTGCCCCACATGGGTATTTAATTATTCCATGAACAAGAGGACAGCCATTTGGGATCCAAGAGACACAGGCTAGACAGACCATATATTTACACAAGATCTTTCCACCAGGATGTTGAGTGAAGAATTCCTTTATTCCATGAAGGATAATCTGCTTACAGATGTCATTTTTGATTGTATGCTGAGGGATGAAATTGATGATGGCATGAACAGTTATAGTAGGGATGCTTTCTCCCACTTCAATGATGCATAGTTTGATATAATTTAAAAGTTTTGGAACTCGCCTATTCTGCTCAGGCTGGGCATGGTATAGGAGTTCAGATTCAACTTCATCTCCAGGGTCAGTCCAGCCCCAGACTTGTGGTCATTACGACCTGTTAGAATTTGAGTCTTATACCTAGGACCCGATGGAAGTCCAAGTATAGTCCTATATTTTGCAGTTGGTGAGTTGGTTTCCTGATTATTCATCAGATTTATGGGAGCTATTTCCAGAAAGTTGGTGGAAGAACCTGATTTAGTCTCAGGTTGGTATTCAGGAATGAATAGAGGATCAAGAAGTATGGAAGTATGAAAGTATGGAAATGTGACTTGACAGTATGATCTCATTGACATTTTCACTAAGTGAGGTACATTTGATGGAGATGTTATCTGAGTTTGGGGTTCTGGAGCAGCTTCTGACTGGAGGCTAGGGGTGAATAGTGTTACCCAACAGTTGGGGCCAGGGAAACTTGTGTCCTCAGGGTCAATGCCCCATTTGAGGTCTTGCCTTATGATCTTGACCTGGTTATTGAGACCTGCTGGTCTATGTTTAGTGGTCTAGTTTCCCAGTGGTCTAGTTCTGGTTGAACTGAGGCCTGGGTATTGGTGTCTGGAATGTCCCTGGCCTTATGGTCAATGTTCAGTGGAGGAATGATCAGGGTTGGGTGGAAGTGTGGCCATGGGCTTAGAGCCAGGTGAAGTTGTGTCCTGGTTCTCTAACTCTGATAGAGGTATAGCCTTCTCAACATGGCCTGTGAGAGTTGTGGCCTGTTGATCTGTTCCCAGCACTGGCATTATTTGCCAGGGTCCTTGTTCTGTTAGAAATGACAGCTTGGCATTGTAGTCTGGCACATCCTTAACCTGGTGGGAAGGACTTAGGGTTGTGCTCTGAGCCTCAGGTTCAAATGGAGTTTGGGGGCCTAAGTCTGGAGGAAGAGTGGCTTGATGATCCTGGCCTGTGGAAGTGATTGCCTGAGAGTCTTGGGGCACAAAGATAGCCCAAAAGTCTCTCTCTGGTGGCATGGTTTCCCAGTGGTCTGGTTCTGTTTGAACTGAGTCCTGAGCACTGGTATCTGGAATATTGTCTTTGGCCTGGTGGTGAGGGCATGGCAGAGCTGTGGTCTGCTCAAGTTCAGAAGAGTTCTTTCATGGCAGTATAAGCCCAGTGAGAGTGTTGTTTCAGAAACCTGGCCTCTGAAAGTTGTCATCTGGTGGTCTGTTCTGGGTAGCATCACTCTCCAGGGATCTTGTTCTGATTGAAGTGTGACTTGGTCATTTAGATCTGGTTTCTCTTTACTCTGTTGGTCAGAGCTAAGTAAAGACATAGCCTGGTTTGGGGGTCCAGGGAAAGATGTGTCCTTAGGGTTCATGCCTGGTGCAGCTGTTGCTCCATGATCTGTTGTCATTGAAATTTCAGGCTGGCAGACTGTTTCTAATGCCATCTTTCCTGGGAGACTAGGTATAGTTGAACTGTTATCTGGGCATTGGTATCCAGAGTGCTATTAGTCTTGTAGTCAATAGTCAATGGAGAAGAGGTCAGGTCTTCAGGGCTGGGAGGACATAGAGACAGTGTCCTTGTGGTCTAAGTTCAGTGGTTGTATTTCACATGTTCCTGGGGTGGGAGAATTATAATGGCTGGTTGGTGTGCCCTGTCTGGCATTGTTTCTCAGTCATGCTGTCCTATCTGGAGGGAAATTATAGTCTGGGCATTGCAGTCTGGTCTTTCCTCATTTTGGTGATCAGGGGATAGTGGAGTCAAAGTCTGATCTTCAGGTCCTGGTGAAGTTATGCAAGGGTAGTCTTCCCTATGCTGCACTGTTTCCCAGTGATCTTGTTCTCTTTGAAGTGTGAACTGGATATTAGTAGGATCCTGTTTGTCCTCAGCCTCAGAGTCGGGGCTCTTTGGAGGTACGTCCTCCCAGTAGTCTAGTCCTGGTGGGATTGCTTCCCAATTATCTTGTTTTTGTTGGAATGTAACCTGGGCACTGGAATCTGATAAATCCACATTCTGGTGGCTAGGGCTGGGTGGAAGTGTTGTCCAGTGGTCAGGACCAGATATTATGGTATTGTGGTATTCTATACCCAGTAGAGGAACCATTTCCTGATGATCCCAGGAGCTATTTCCCCATTTTCTACTCCTGGTGATGTTGTTTCTCCATGTCCTTGTTCTGGTTAGAGTGTGGGTTGGGCCATGGAGTGTATTACATTTATGGCTTGGTTGTCATGACTGGGTGAAGACACGGCCCTGGGATCAGGGCCAGATGGAGTTGTATCCTGCTGTTCCAGCTTCAGTGGGAGTGCTGTCTGGGGAACCTGGCCCGGAGTCATGACCTGGGGGTTCTGTGTCAGTGGTACGGCTTCCCATTGACCTTGCTCTTGTTGGAGTGGGACTTGGCCATTCCAGGCTAACATCCCCTCTGACATATCTAGTTGTTGGTCAGGGGTAGGTGGATGTGCAGCCTGGTATTTGTGACCTGATAGTTACATCATCAGGGTCTATTATGCCCAGTGGAGGTTTTGCCCCCTGACCCTGGCCTGTGGGAGTTGTTACCTGATAGCCTGGTTCTGGTAATATTTCCCAGGGTTCCTGTTTTTGTTGGACTATGATTGAGTTATGGGAATGTGGTTCATCCTGATCCTGGTAGTCACAAGCTGATGGGGATGTATCCTGATCATCAGGGTCAGGGAGAGCTGTGTCTTGATGTTCCTTGTCCACTGGGAGTGCTCCCCAGTGATCCTGGTTTATAGTAGCTGTCATGTGGTGGTCTAGCTCTGATGATATTATTTCCCAGGGTTCTAGTTTTTGTTGGTATATGACTGGGTCAAAGAGTTCTGGTGCATTCTGACTCTGGTAGTCATAGCTGGGTGGAGGTGCATCTGGGTTGTCAGAGTCAGGGAGATCTGTGTCCTGATAGACTTTTCCCAGTGAAGAAATGACCTTATGACCCTGATCTATGATAACTATGGTCTGGAGGTCTCTTTCTGTTAGCCTTGTTTCTCAGTGATCTTCTGCAATTGGACAGATGCTCTGGGTATTTTTGCCTGATATATCCTCAGCCTGGAAGTCAGGATTGGGAGAGGATATGACCTGGTGGTCAGAGCCACTAGGTAGAATCATGTTGAGGTGTAGTATGTCTGGTGGAAGAAGGGCCATCCAATTGCCCTGGCTTGTTGGAGTTGTGGTCTGTTGATCTTGTCCAATTGGTCCTATTTCCCAGTTGACTGCTTCCTCGTGGAGTTTGACTGGGACACTAGAATTTGGCATATCGCCAGCCTGGTGGTCACTGATGGTTAGAGGTATGGTCTGGTTTTTGGAACTAAGTAAAGTTGTATCCTGAAGGTCTAGTAAGCCCTGTGGAAGCCTTGCCTGGTATTCCTGGATTATGGGATTTGTCACCTTCCACTTGTCTTGATCTTTTTTGAGTACAATCTGGGTATTTGGATCTGGTGTACCCTCAGCTTGGTGGTCATGGCTGTGAGAAGACGTAGCTTGATGATGAGGACCAAGTGGAATTGTCTCTTGGTGTTCTATGTTGCTTAGAGGTTTTGTCCAGTGAATATGACCATTTAGAGCTGTGGCTACATCTGCTTTAGGTGGCACTGTTTCCTGTTGGTCTAGTTGTGCTGATACATCTTTGACTTGGTCACCATGGTGAGGTTGAGGTAGAACATCAGGTATATGCTGATGTAATGAGAAGGGTACTGACATGGCCTTTCTCCAGTGACCAGGTATTCCACTGCTCCATGGGGAAGGTCTTAGCCCAGACTGGTGGTTTGGACCTAGTGATGGTAAAAGTGTGTCTTTGACCCATTTTGGGCGGTTATGAGGCCTCCTAGTCGTCTGACTCAGAGATGTTGGATATCTAGCCAGGATCTGGGAGTGGTGATCAATACATCGTAACAATGATATTGTTTCCTCGAGATGGAGACCAGGATAGGACACCTTGGAAGTTTTTCTCTGGACCCAGTGGTCCAGGTCCAATGTTTTCACTGATGTACTCTGATGTATCAGCATTCAAAACAAGGTGTTGGCAGTGAACCATAGTCTGGTGTTTCGGGTGGAAAAATTTTACTGCAGCAGCAGTTGCCACCCTGGCCTGGCTCCAGGGCCTTGGTGGAGTTTGAACTTGGCTACCATGGCTCCTTTGCATAGGTGGCGGGTCCTTGGCCTGGTAGTCAGGGCGTATTCTGGGTCTAGCTACAATACATTGTTCTCTGATTCAGGAACTGGGGAAGACCAGCCTGGTGGTCAGCAATTGATGAAGATAGGGGCTGTTGGTTGGAGTGTGTCAGAGCCTTGGTCACTGAGTGGTCATTTTTTGGGAAAATCTTGGGAAGGTGGTCAGGACCGGAAGGCATTTATGCCTGGTAGGAGTTTGGCTCTACCAATGACTGAGGCTGGTGTTTGGGGCTGAGTGGAGGAACATGACGTTGGCTCACTGGTTGCAAGGCCACAGAGGTTATCCTGTCATTTGTATCATGCCTATGGTGTAAGGGCAAGGTTGGGGTGGCTTCCTGATGCCTGTGGTGTTGAAGGCGAAGTTATGGTTCAGCCATTGCTGTGGAATCAGGCAGAGTCAGGTACAGCCCAGCTATGGCCAGGTGTTGCTGGAGCCACGAGGAGGGAGTTAGTTTATTCTTGTAGCAGGTGTAAGACAGCGGCCTTGGGGTAATTTCATCCAGGCAGTTGAGGTGGGACATCTGCTCAGTGCTGGATAGGTGGTCTTTTCCCCATGATGGTGAAATCCAGTGAGGGGGACATGGTAGTAGCACTGACTTGGCCTGGTGACAGTGGCTTTTCTGAGGGAACTGGACCAAGTCAGCAGATGAAGAAGGGAATTATGAATAAATGGTAAGAAATAAGTAGACATACAGGGTGGGCGGGAAAGACAACAGCAGAAAAAGGAGCAAAGATCTGCTCAGAGAGAGGCCTGGCATTTGCAGCAGAACTGGATGGTTTTCAAAGTGCCTCATTTCATCCTCAGACAAAGCCCACGGGACAACTTTGATCTTGACAAAAAGGCTTCTTTTCCTGACCCGGTGAGGCCTCAGGAAATAGTACAAGCACTGCCATTTTATAGATTAACAAAGCAGATTACTTAAGTGACTTACCTAAAGGAATAGGGGAAACAGGAGAACAAGCATTTATATAAAAGTTTAGGTGCTTTATATTTATTATCTCATTCAATTCTCACCACAGCCCTGAGGAGGCAAGTGCTATTATTATCTCCCTTTTATAGCTGAGGAAACTGAGGCATGCAGAGGTTAAGTGACTTGCCCAGAGTCACACAGTTAGAAAGTGTCCAAGGCCGAATTTAAATTCAGGTCTTCCTGACTCTCCAGGCCCAGTGTTCTATCCACTGCACCATCTGGCTGCCCCCACAGGGCTAGTAGTCAATGGGAATCGCTAGGAATCCATCTTAGGAAAGCAAGGTTTAGCATGTCGGTGCTTCCCATTTGTGTGGGTCTTGTAAATGGCCATAAGAAGACCAGGGCCTGTCAGATCTAACTGCTACCCAAGTACTCAAAGCCTGCTGCACCCCCCCCATCTTTTTCTGGTCTTGTTAGACTTTATTTCCCACCCCCATGTACTCTGAGATTCAGTGACACTGGCTTCCTTGCTGTTCTTCACACAAGACACTGCCTCTCTTGTATCTGTGCATTTTCACCGGCTGTCCCTCGTGCCTGGAATTCTACCCCCCTGCTCATCTCAACTTCCTTTCTGGCCTCTCTGGTTTCCTTCAAGTCCCTACTAAAATCCCAACTTCTACAGGAAGCCTTTCCTGATCCCCCATTAATTTTAGTGCCTCCCCTGTATGTAGCCTGTTTTGTACATAGTTATTTGTATGTTATATCCCCTATTAAATTGTGAACTTCTTGAGAACCGGGACTACTGAGATCTTTTACCTTTCTTTGTATCCCAAGTGCTTAGCACAGTACCTGGCAGGTAGGAGACATTTAATAAATACTTATTGACTAAACTGGTCTGGGAACTACTAACAACTTCAAGATTAAATGAGTGGAGCAACCCATTACAGGGACTCAGAGAGGTGGTGATTTAAGTTGACCGAAAACTGATGTTTTCCCACCCTCTTCCACCTTCATTTCTACTCATATGCTGCTGAATGGAATTAGAGGAAATCATGAAATCATGCTGACTAGGTCCACTATAAATGAATATTCAAGTTAATTTTAACTGGACACTTGCTATAAGCAAAGCAATCTACTCTTCTCCCTAACTGACTCCCTATCCTTTTGAGGCAACTGTTCCAACCTTTCCTTCTCTCCTCATGTTTCCCATGAGATTCCCTTTTCCACTCCCTACCCCCATCCTCAGAATGTAGCTTCAATACTTAGCTGAAAAACTTTAGGCCATTGTGGAAGAGTTTTCTTTTCTCCTTTCTTCATCTCATATCCCTCTGACATCAGTCCCCACTGTTTCCCACTTCACTCCAGTCTCTGATGCTGATATGGCACTGTTGTTCAGTCGTGTTTGACTCTTTGTGACCCCATTTGAGGTTTCCTTGGCAAAGATTCTGGAGTGGTTTGCCATTTCCTTCTTTAGTTCATTTGACAGATGAAGAAATTGAGGCGAATAGGACTAAGTGACTTGCCCGGGGTTACACAGCTAGTAAGTTGTCTGAGGCCAGATTTGAACTCAGGGAAGATGAGTCTTCCTGATTCCAGGCCCAGCATTCTATCCATCATGCCCCCTACCTGCCCACCACTTGGGCACACCTGTGACATGGCACATCTGCTTGCTAAAGCCTACCCCTCTTCTCCATATACCCTTGATTCTCTCTCACCTCCCAAATTTACTAGTAGGTTGCCCTCTATCATTCCCATTTTCTCTCTAATCTTCAATCTCTCCTAGATCTACTGGCTCCTCCTACTTACAAACATGTCCATGCCTCCTCTTTCTTTAGAAAACCCTCATTAGATCTGACCATACCAGCCAACTTTCATCTTATACTCTTACCAGTTCCTAGAAAAAACTACTAACAGCCTGCTAAATGGTCTGCCTACCACAAATCTCTCCTCATTCCAGTCCATCTTCTACTCAGCTGTTAAAATGATTTTCCTAAAATGCACACACACACACACACACACACACACATAATCTTCCTCCAATTCAATAAACTCCAGTGGCTCCCCGTCACCTCCAGGATCAAATATTAAATCCTTTGTTTGGCATTCAAAGCCTTTCCTAACCTGACCTGCCTCTACATTTCCTATCTTCTTAGGCCTTCTACCCCTATGTACTGTGAGATCCAATGCCAATGACCTCCTTCTTCCTCCTGATGATTCAGTGTATTTTCACTGGTTTTTCCTAATGCTCATAATTCTCTCCATCCTCTCCATCCTCATCTCTGCCTCTTAGCTTTCCTGGCTACTTTTAAGTTTTAGCTAAAATTCCACCTTCTACAGAAAGCCTTTCCCAAATCCCCACGCCCCCACCTTAATATTAGCGCCTTCCCTTCTTTGTTAGTTACTTCCAATTTTTCTTGTATATAGTTCATTTTGTACATAGTTGTTTGCATGTAGTCACTGCCTTAGACTATGAGTTTCTCAAGGGCAGGGACTGTCTTTTGCCTCTCTTTATATCCCCAGTGCTTATTACAGTGTTTGGCACATACTAGACAATTAATGTTTATTGACTGACTGATGCCTCTGCTTATTTATTCCCTTTCACTCTCTTCAAAACTCTCTGAAATCTGGCTTCTCACCTCATCATTCAATTGAATGTTACTAACTGAAATGGAGAGTTTGATAACCTCTTAACTGTAAAATCTAATGACCTCTTTTCTTCGTGATCCTCATCCTTCATGTTCTTTCTTGCACCATTTTTGGTACTGACCACCTTTAATTCTCCTGGATACTTTCTTTTCAGAGTTTTCATGATTCTGCCCTCTCTAGGTTCTTCTCCAACTTGTATGACCTGCTGTTCAGTCTCTTTTGCTGGATCTTTATTCATGTCATGCCCCATGCGGTGGCCCTCAAGGCTCTGTCATTGGTCATCATCTTTTCTCTCTGTGCTCTTACTTGTTGACCTCATCAACTTCCATGGCATCCAGTTATCATCTCTATACAAACCATTCCCAGATTTATTTGTCCAGTCCTAGTCTCTCTCCTGAGCTCTACTCCCAAACCCCTAAATATCTGTTCGACATTTTGAACTGGATATTCCATTTGTAACTTAACTTCGACATGTCCAAAACAGAACTTGTTCTTTGCCCTCAAAACTCTTCCCTCTTCTGAACTTCCCTATTAGAGTAGAGATGACCTACAGGCTTTCCAGTCCCCCAGGTTTGCAGACTCAGAGTCATCCACAACAACTCTTCTCTCTTTCTTACCCTACGTATCCAATTAGTTACCACATCTTTTAATTCCTTTCTCTAAAACACCTCTTCCCCACAGGTTTTCTTTTCATTCACATAGCTACCAACCTCATGACCCTCATCACCTCCCAACCATGAGGACAAAGGAAGAAGCATCATTTCTGTCTCCTATTCCTGGCACAAGGAGTATCTATCACACTTATCCCTAGAGACAATTCCCTCCCACAAAAATATCCCCCTCCCGTACAGATACACACAAACTGCCATATTCTCCCCTGCTACACATATTCTAGTATCCCACCCCGCAAAGTAGGTACCTTGAGGCTTCTTATCTATAAGAACTTCTAGAAGAATGGGAATCAGGCATTGAAGGTCAACAGCTTAGCTGGTCCAGTTCCAGCTTGTGCTTGATTCTTGGTGGCTGTAAGTTTCCTTGAGAGGAGACTGCTTTTCCAGCGAAAATATAGTCAGTCAGTGCTCTTTCTTCTCTCTTTCTCTGTCTCTCTGTCTCTTTCTCTGTCTGTCTGTCTGCCTCTCTCTCTCTCTCTCTCTCTCTCTCTCTCTCTCTCTCTCTCTCTCTCTCTCTCTCTCTCTCTCTCTCTCTCTCTCTGTCTCTCTCTCTCTCTGTCTCTCTCTCTCTCTCTGTCTCTCTTCTTCTCTTGTTCTGGGATGGAGAGAGAAAACTAGCTATGCTTTCTCAGATACAAAGAGCGGGACTGATCAGGCTCCTGGTCTTCTATCCTAGTAAGGGGATCTGAGATGGTCCTGACCTCATAAGGCATCACTTGTTCTTTGTCCACCATTAGTCAGTTTCCCCCACTCAGCTCTGTCATTGTAGGTAAGAGTATTTAGAGACTGACAGATGAGTTGTAAGAAGGCTACTACCCTGAACACAAGCCACCCTGCCTTAAAGGGGCTTCAGACTAAATTTCCTACTGATTCTCACCAAATAGTTTCATTACTCTTCTACCTATAGTGATTCTTAACAGAAGATTAAAAAAAAAACCCCTCAGAACTCTTGAGTTTTTATTTCTAGTTTCTGTTTGACTGCCCCTTAATAAGGGAACAAATTTTTGTGCCCAGCATGGATAAATAAGAGGAATTTGACATGCTTCTCTCTAAAACTTTGGGACATGTATCAGAGGAAAAAAAAAAGAAAGTTGATTCAAGGACAGATATGTGGCTTTCCTTTTTGATAGGGCTTTGAATTCACATATCCATTTTTGGGGTCTCATAAACACAGAATGGCACAAAATACAGTGACCCAGAAGAAAATTCCCTTTTCTGTCCTCCATCACCTCTTCTCCCTCTTCCCTAATGCCCTATCCTGCATACCCATTCATACCGTTGAACCTGATTTTTGTCTAAGAAGCAACTGGATGGTACAATGGATAGAGTGTTAGGCTTGGAATTAATGCGGTTTGGGTTGCTGGGAACCCCAAAATGTAAGGGTAGAAGGCAGGTCTTCCTTGAAAGAATTCAACCACTCAAGTCTTCTTTCTGTCAAAGTAGAGAGGTTTATTAAAAGCAAGCTAGATTCTAAGTGAGGTCTGTGCAATTTGATGGGGATAAGATTGGTATTTATATATAAGAAAAGATAGTGAGAAGATCTGGATGGGATTAAGGAGTGCTAAATAGCCTGGGGTGGACCAGGCAATGGAAGGAGTTAAGTAGTTGGAGAGCCACAGTGAAAGGGCAGTTAAAAGCATTATTGAGTATCCAGGTAGGCTGGGTGGGCCAAATGCCACAGGTGAACCACCATGGACTGGGTTGTGTGGACTTTTTCTTTTAGGGTTCTAGGTCCCATTACTCCACCATGCCTGGGTAATTATTTTAAGTTATTTTAATTTTGGTCAGCCTGAGTTTCCTCAATTGCAAAATGGAAATGATAATAATGGCACCTATCTCCAAAGGTAGTTGTGAGAATAAAGTGAGAAAGTATTTGTAAAGCACTTAGCACAATATCTGGTACACAGTGGGTGATTATTAAAAGCTTGTTGTTTTCCTCACCCCCCCCCCACCAACTTTTTACATATTGAAACCCTTCCAATAGAAGGAGAGAGGCCATTAACAAATCTCCTAGAGAATTTTGAAAGAGGAAGACAATCTCTTTGGGGGGGAGGGCCCTACACTGTAGTCCTTTTTATATTCATGCACCTCTTGGACTCAAGGTAACAGTCCTATTTATTACGACAAAAGTCAGAATCCCTTTGGCCTTCTACTCTGTCCATCATCAGAGGTGTTGATTGGTTTCCCTGTATCCTTTCTTACCATAGCTATGTATTGGATCAACTGGAGATAATCCACGCAGGAAGGCATTAGAGTTAAGGGGGATCAGGCAAAAGATTCTGATAGAAGGCGGGATTTCAGCTGAGACTTGAAGGAAGTCAGAGAATGAATCCAGGAGGCAGAGATGAGATAGGAGAGAATTCCAGACAGGAGGGACAGCCAATGAGAATGCACAAGAGGCAGGAGAGGGAGTGTCTAATCTGAAAAACAGCAAGGAGGCTAGTGTCACTGAATCTTAGAGTATGTTGAGATGGGGTACAAAGTGTAACAAGACTGAAAAGATGATGGGGGTAGGGGGGCTTTGGATGTTTTAGTGGCAATGAGATCTGACAGATTCCAGTCCCATTTCTGCCATTTACTAGACTTGTGCCTGTGGGAGGTACTGAACAGCAGGGAGGTCCCTTTCACTGAATTCCAGAGTAAGTAAGTAAGGAGGGAATAAGGTTTAAGAAGATTAGAAAGGTGGGTGGGGACACTTTGTGAAGGGCTTTGAATGTCAAACAAAATTTTGTATTTATATTTATTATTATTTTTTTTTTAGGCGATTGGGGTTAAGTGACTTGCCCAGGGTTACATAACTAGTAAGTTATGGTCTGAGGCTGGATCTAAACTCAGGTCCTCCTGACTTCAGGGCCAGTGCTCTATCCACTGTGCCACCTAACTGCCCCACTTTTTTGGGGGGGTAGGCAATGGGCTTAAGTGACTTGCCCAGGGTCACACAGCTAGTGTCAAGTGTCTGAGGCCGGATTTGAACTCAGGTCCTTCTGACTGCAGGGCCAGATGCTCTATCCACTGCACCACCTAGCTGCCCTTTTTTTAAAAAAAAATTATTTTTTTTTATAGGGAGCCACTGAAGTTTATTGAGTTGGGGGTGGGGGGAAGTGACATAGATCTGTGCTTTAGGAAGATTAATTTGACAGCTGAGTGGAGTAGGCAGAAACTTGGAGCAGTAGGCAGAAACTTGGAGAAGTAGGCTATTGCTGCATGAGATGATGAGGATCTGTGCCAGGGTGGTAGCAGGGCCAAATGAGAGAAGGGTACATGTGTTAAAAATGTTACAATGATCAAATCAATAGGACCAGTCAATAGACTGAATTGGGATTGGGGTGGGGGAAAGAGTGAGAATTCAAGGGTGATGTCTAGGTTTTGAGTCAGGTTGACTAGGAGGATAAATGGTGCTCTCAACAGTAATAGGCAAGTTCCAAAGGTGGGAAGATTTGGGAAGTAAGATAATGAGTTCAGTTTTGGGCAGCTCCATCCTGCTTGCTAACTGTTAAAACTTTCAGTGTGAGCATTTATACTTCAGACTTTTGTTGATCAACAAAACAATAAATCAACAATAAAACAATAAAGGAAGTGATGGAGAACATGTAAATAATGCAAATTAAACTTAAAAGTAGGTGGGCAGAGCCAAGATGGCAGAGTGAAAGCAGTGACTTGCTTGAGCTCTCCCCCAAACCCCTCCAAATACCTATAAAAAATGGCTTTAAACAAATTCTGAAGCAGCAGAACCCACAAAAAGACAGAGTGAAGCAAATTTCCAACCCAAGACAATCCGGATGATTGATCAGAAAGGTATTTTGCGCTGAGCTGGTAGAGGAGTGTGGTGCAGCGTGGTTGCGCAGGCCACAGCCAATGTGGAGCAAGCCTCAGAGGACTGAATCGCGGGCAGCTGTGGTGGTTTCCAGACTTCTCAACCTAAGAACACCAAAGACAATTTAGAAGGTCAGTGGGAAAAGTCTGTTTCTGTGGTGAGAGAGGAGCTAGGTCTCAGAGCCAGTTCCAGAGCACGACTGCTGGGGCGGTGGCTGTGTCCTAGGCTTCTGGCCCACAGACTGAGAGGGAATCAAGTGGCTGATCAGAGGGGGACTGCAGGGATCTCTTTGCCAGTGCTGAGGCAGGAATCTCTTTCTTTGCCCGGACTTGGATCTGGGTCACAGTTCTGGATGGCAGTCCTGGGGTGCTGGCATGGTGGAGCTTGTAGTGGTTATGGAGAGAAAACCTTCCTCACAGTTCCAGGACAGAAAGGAGTGCTTGTGGTCACTAATAGACCAGAGCACAGGCTAGGAAAGGAGTAAACACCTCGCCCCTTATCATACCACCTTAGAAGAACTGAAAATTTACAGGTCCCTACAAGTATCTCTGAAAACAACTATATAAACCCCCAAAGCTTGGGACAGTACATTCTCCACGTTGGAAGCAGACTCTTACCCCAACAAACAGTTTAAAACTCAAGTAATTGGCTGGGATTATGAGCAAGCAGCACAAAAAGAGTCAGACTATATTGTCTTACTTTGGTGACAAAGAAGATCAAAATATACAACCAGAAGACAACAAAGTCAAAGCTCCTACATCCAAAGCCTCCAAGAAAAATATGAATCAGTCCCAGGCCTTGGAAGAGCTCAAAAGGGATTTTGAGAAGCAAGTAAGGGAAGTAGAGGAAAAACTGGGAAGAGAAATGAGAGTGATGCAAGAAAATCATGAAAAACAAGTCAACAGCTTGCTAAAGGAGACCCAAAAAAATACTGAAGAAAATAATACCTTCAAAAATAGCCTAACCCAAATGGCAAAAGAGGTCCAAAAAGCCAATGAGAAGAATGCTCTAAAAAGAAAAATTGGCCAAATGGAAAAGGAAGTCCAAAAGATTACTGAAGAAAATATTTCCTTAAAAATTAGAATAGAGCAATTGCAAGATAGTGACTTTATGAGAAATCACGACACTGTAAAACAAATCCAAAAGAATGAAAAATTAGAAACAATGTGAAATATCTCATTGGAAAAACAACTGACCTGGAAAATAGATCCAGGAGAGAGAATTTAAAAATTATTGGACTATCTGAAAGCCATGATCAAAAAAAGAGCCTAGACATCATCTTTCAAGAAATTATCAAGGAAAACTGCCCTGATATTTTAGAACCAGAGGGCAAAATAGAAATTGAAAGAATCCACAATCTCCTCCTGAAAGAGATCCCAAAGGAAAACTCCTAGGAATATGTAGCCAAATTCCAGAGTTCCCAGGTCAAGGAGAAAATATTACAAGCTGCCAGAAAGAAACAATTCAAGTATGTGGAAACACAATCAGGATAACACAAGATTTAGCAGCTTCTACATTAAAGGACTGCAGGGCATGGAATATAATATTCTGGAGGGCAAAGGAGATAGGATTACAACCAAGAATCACCTACCCAGCAAAACTGAGTATAATCCTTCAGGGG